ATTTTACGATATCTGAAAGGCAGTTGAACTGTAATATTTGGTTCAATAATTAATCTGAAAACATTCTTAGATCATGCAGTAAGTGGGACAGTAAGATACGCTAGTGAAAATTTATAACCACCTAAACAAAAACTGATGACTTCTATTCATGAATACTATAACTCTTGAAATTGACACAACCATCTTAAAACTTGACATTTATTCATATTTCAGTTTTTATTGAATGATTTTTACATATCTGATCATCACATCTGCAATTCAAGCTTGACTGTACCATTTGTACTTTTGTTTTACCTCTTTTGAGTTCAAATTTTTTCATATTATATTGAAAAACTTCAACTCACATATATCCTCAGAGTTTGATTCCGCTCATTTCTCTACTTTATCGTTTTTAAAGCTAGAGACTCTACTTAATGACTTATCTGATTCAGTCACCACCGTAGATATAAATCAGATCACATCTTGAAAATGGACTTTGTTGTACAGAATAGTCATTATCAAATGATATGGTAGAAGAGTTCGAATATTGATTTTTGAGGTTCGTCGAAGAGAGATCATACGATCCTTTGGAATGAAACTTATCTTTAACTGATACATAATGTATCAGGCTATAAATTACATATTTTTTGTAACGAGATTCTAATAACACGAAGAAATCATATAGATAGCCTGTTGAGCTGTCTCACGATAGGTGTCATACTGTTCTAGATAACTGTAACGATTCAGTAGACAATTTTTGTGAAGTGAGCGAAGGGTTGTTCTTTTGGTTAAGTTCAGGTGTAGAAACGTCTCATCTCTGGTCCTAGCATCTCATTAATTTCGCTTTCGGTTGTATCGAAAGTCACATCCTGTTTTAACAGCTCGTTGACTGACAATCGTGAATACCTACTGGCCGAAAGATCTTTACTAGTGTCTGAAACTTGTTAATAATAATGATAATTTATTCTCAAATGGCAGTTTGTTACATGAGGCACGCCAGTTCACAGGCAAGATCAAATTGTTATGGAATTCACAAATTTTACTGCAGTAAATCACTAAGCTGGATTGATATTTTTTGACATATGAATGTAGATGGTTTTAGTAAGAAACGTATTGTCAACATCACAAGTGGCGCGCTTTATGAAGGTTGCGTTGCAACATGCAACTGATGGCCGAGAATAGATCCATTTAAGATTGGGGGCTTCTAGAAACAGAAATCTTATATCCCTCCGGAATATCTGAGGCTTTGATAATGCTGCAGGACGAAGTAACCCGTTCCACACATGTTTTCAGTGCTATCTCAAGGGCGCTGAAAAAGGGTGATAGAAGAAGCAAGGACGAGAAACAGAGCAGACAATGTTCATGGATAAATAGTTAAGGTATACCTACTTAGTTTATTCCTCTGTTGTCAAGGAATTTATTAGGCAAGATCACTTTAACATAATAAAGAGAATAGGTGTAAAAAAAGTATGAGTGGGTAAGGAACTGTATAAATGAAATTGGTTCAGAAAGAAAGATATAAATTTCAAACTACGTTTGGTTGAAGAATAACTGACCAAATTAGACATGCGTGTCCCAATGGAAATCAGAACAGGGTGATTGGTGTAACAAAGGTTCTAAATTTCATCATAAACACAAATTTACACTTTTACTTAAACAAATATTACCACTCAGTTATTCAATCAATAATTGTTCCCACAATAATCGATCTAAATTACAATAAGTAGACAAATTGATAAGAAATATAAGAAAATTACCGAACGCACCAAAAATAAGTGTTATTCTATCCTTTCCGGATAGATCAAGTAAAAATCCGTTACAAAGGTAATTGTTTGTTGCTTTATAACACTGGGAGTTTCCAATTCTGGGAAAGTGCTCCAATTCACAACCAAAATGCACGATCCCAGTCAAATCAAACAACAAAATAAAAGAGGGAACAATCATTATTACTGCCGCCAAGATAAAATATCGACTAAAACAACGTATATACTGTTCGGAAAGAAACATAGAAACTCAGTAAAGGCGACAGAAAAAATGAGAAAACTAATCTGAAATGAAGTGTAACAATCTTAACTGGCATCAAAAAGATTAACAATAATGCACAAATAAAGAAACCATTAGGAACAAATTGCAAATATATGCATGGGGAAATTTTCACACACAAAACCTTCAAAATAGATCTTACACCGGCCGGCATCATCCCCCCATACTACACAAGCCACTTCTACGCCTTTTGTCGTGGTTCAGTCTATAGCATAATCCACGTTAAAAGAACGAGCAGGACTTACAGAAATACGCCTACCCGCCCTGCCTGTGGTGATACAAGTAAGTAATTGAGGCCTTACGTATATCCCTACTCACCAATCTGTTATTCGTTCGATCGGTTACTGACCCAACATTCAGCTACTCCTAAATACCACTTTCCACGTGTCGAAATGTCCGAAGCCATAATTACTATGCCTCTCTCCTTAGCTACAGAAGACTCAAAGTGGTCTACTCTTCGTTGAAGCAATCCCAGCTGTGCAACTTTGTTGGATAAATCGTGAGAAATTTCGTCAGTAAGTTTGCAAGCTAGTAACAGCTCGAACCGTCGGTCACTTGCATATTCACCACCAAAGTTAGCTGATGACTTCAATCGTCCACGATTGTTCTCAAAGATTATTTCCATCAGCATTTTATACCTTTCTAATTCAGAAACGCTTTGGTATCTAATCGACCTAACCTCCTCTGATAATCGTATTCAACTTGTGTTCATCCATCGACGGCTTTTTCAATTGTAAGACCGTGTTCAATTAACTTTTCACATTCATCGAAGAATCGAGACTGGATATCTAACTGTACTTTAAGGCTGAGAATTTTGTTATACAAATCAGTTCGAAGTAGTTTCTTGGACTCGAGGTCTCATTTCATTTCTTGGAACCGTTTCTGTGACTCATGATAGTCGCTAAGGAGAGTCTTGTAAGCATCATGACCTTGTTTATACTTACCAATATCCCTTTCAAGAATTTCTCTCTCTCTGTAAATTACGATTCTCTTTACCTCGTTCGTTAGCTTTCATCTTCGTGTCATTCGTTCCACCTATTATATGCCTAGAATCTAGCTCGTTCGTGATGTTGGGTCCTTGATAAATCATTTCATATAGGGGGACCCCTGTAAGTTTGACGGCATAATCAAAAACCACTCCCCGTTCCTCTGGTGTTTTGGGGTTCGACACTGCATGACGAGAGCGATAACCTGACCTCGATTTTTTTGAGGAACCTTCTTCGCATAGCCCACAGTGAAATTGCTCTCAAAACCTTTGGTATATCTGGTGGGTAGGTTGTTATCCTTGGACAACCTACTCTGCAATCTACTGTCTGCTACTTCATACTTTCCGTTTCTCATGTTCCAAGTCTTTTTCCGAGGTATAGAGACTACAAATTGACCATTCTTGGAGCACATGTTCATTTTCACAATCTGTGTATTCGCACTTACTCCTACTGATACTGATTTATGACTCGAATGGATATTGGCAAACTTCTCATGTTAAGGCTTACGTACTTTAACTCCCAACTTATGTACCTTAATGGTATTATACTCTTTTTCTAAGATCCAGGCCTGATGCGGTCCCAAACACAGTCCACACGAGCAACGTCTTCATGGCATACGGATTCTTCCTCCCACCCAACCGTTGGCCGAGTAACCAATGGGCTTCCGGAACATCATAACCAATCAGCAATAGGATTTCTCCCGAATCTAGAATTTCTAAGTGCACATCATCTAAATGCGGCCACTTGACTACTCTGCTCACTACTGACTTCGTCGGCTTATGCCCTGGTATTCGCGACACAAATAAAGCACCTTCAATCGTAACTCGGAGAAGGATGATCTGTTCGATATTTAGTGACCCAACTGCCGCATGATTTGGCTACGGTTCAGTGACATTTTACTGGCCCTGAACTAGATTGTGAACTGACTACTGGAAGAAGACTATTTCCTTAAATAAGAGTTTATTATTAATATGTGGATGAGTGAAAGGAACCATCAGTTTGAAAGTGTCAATAAAACCTACTAGATCAGCTCAGACACTAAATGCCTATCAAGCTATTTGCATCCCGGATCTATGGGACTTTACAATTGAAGCAAAAATTCACGTCGTTAAGACAAAGCTATCCAGCGTTCACTGATATTTCTACCATTAAATCAACTAACGAATTGACGTAATAAGTCCTGGAAAACTTGGCCCTAAGATCATTTCTCTCATCCAAAAAAGTTTCTTCATTGATAAATGACGCAGTAACTAAACGTCCCTCTATTATTTGTGTATACAAATAAAGTTGTTGAATCATATATAAAACTTGGAGTTTAACTGTGGAGAAAGTAGATTAGATTTTACAAGCTTGGTAGGTTATCCATTGCTTTCAGACTATATTTTTGAAATTTTCCATCACCAACTCAGATGATGTATTTAGATAGTCACAGTCTAATACAGTTAGGCAGAAATGTTATGACTTCCCAACTTATATCTAAATCACACCATACAGTTAATGCTTTAAGTGAACTCACACCTCTTTACCTGTGTGCCATGGCCGTTACATTTATGTGTAGAACAAAAATCAATTTACTAAGGAAAGGTAATCTTGGAAAAAACTAGAGTAGTACATCGTAGGACCACTTGCTAATTCTCCAATGCACGACCCTGTCTACACGATACGAGGCCATATTTTCATCTCAAAAATATGAATGCCGAAAATTGTTTGCAAATCTATCATCTAAATAGATCTTTCAAGAAACCTTTTTGGGTGATGATTTTATCATCATGCTTCAGCTTCGGATTTTTACTGCTTCTAGAATAAGAGATGGATGAATAACAGTCCGTAAGGATGAACTAAAGGATGATCAACAGGACATTAAATTTTTAAAAATCCAAGATCTAACGGCCAGAGTGCAACCAATTTACGATGGTTTATCATTAAATTATTGACTTGACTTTAAAATAACTGTCAAACTCACGAAAAAAAGTGTGTACAAGTGTCAGAATCCCCCTGTTTAAGTAGTCGGAAAGGCCTTTAAACGTAAATTTTGTTGAGATGGCAGTGCGAAATAAACAACGGTTTCACATTCGATGAAAGATATTGGCTAATGAATTTAGTTGGGTTATCGATAACGCCTCACACTAATATTGTGGGATTTTAAATTGCTGTCTCCATCCATGTACAAAAGAAGTTCACGAGGCCCGTTTAGTCAGTCATCCTATACAGAACCAGTAATTAACCTTAGGAGTCCAGATAAACTTCATGATCGAACTCATTCGAAGGTAACCAAGTTTATCTCCCTTCATTGATAAATAATATTATGGTTAAATACTTATGTACAGTGTCTACAAGTAATAATAAGGTTACTCATGTGTAACAGAGATAAATTGCTTGTTGAAAGTGATTTAAGATGTCAAATAAATAGTTCTTAGTTAGGTTTTTACACACTATAAGTTAAGTAAAACTACTTAAGTCTCTGGACTTTGGTCAAAAGACACTTCGAAATTTTCTGGCTTTCATATAACAAAATTTCACTCTCCTAAAAATCATTCATGATTGTGTATTGAGTATCAATCTTTTTTAGACTCATCGTTTTTTATTTCTATCAATATGGTGATCTTAGCGTAATATTTCGATTTATAATTCGTGCATGATTATTTTTAGCTTACCAAATTGCATGAATGAGGAATTCATCCTCTTATTTAGCTTAGTCGGCACAAAATGTTGTTTATGTTTAGAAAAATTAGTTCGAAAGTCTTGCCGCAGTTGAATTTTTCGACCGCTGTGAATTTATTCGAACAGATTGTCAACGAGGTTATGTTCTTATTCATTTTATGAAACAAAAATATTTATAAGCCTTTGATGCCTGAGCCTCGTAAACATGGTCATTAGAAATGGTTAACGAGGTGAAACTCAGCTTTTCAAGGGAGACGTCTGCCTAAAACTTGTTTCACTTACTGCTATGTCACATCCCTACTTATTTGACTGACTTATTTCAAACTGGCAAATGACTCATTAAGTTTACAAGATCTGCGTACAAAGTTTATTTATCCTTATGAAGACCTTTTAGATTAAAGGCAAAGCAAGAGCATGAATGGTCATAAGCCGAGCAACTGGCCTTATTATGCATTGCTGACACTTCAAGCTCATTTACTTGTGTTATTATGTTCAGTTGATTCGAGTCGTTTGACCACTTTTGTTTCACCACTTCTTTAAGCATGATCATAATTATTTGATAAACAGCTTGATTCTTCTGAAACTGAATCAACGATATTTTTGATTTCGTTACTTATGAACTTTGTGACGCGATATTTCCTCTTCAATAGTGACAGGGAGACGGAATTTCGCCTTATGTCCCGAAGCATTTGAATTAGTTGTAAGCTTTGTGAAGAGATTAAAATGGCCGTTCCTTTTGCTGCAGAGTTAACCGCCTTAATGGCCAAATTTTGGTTGGAGAATATGCTACTCGAGACAAATGTAAAACACAGTCATTTAAGAGTTAACTCTCATCTGATCAACATCCAACTCAGCTTTTGTTGAAGTTAAATGATATATATGCATTCAAAAGCTTGAATTTCCCAGAAAATTCTACTTTTTTAAGCTTATGATGGCAATAACAATGTCATGGAAAAAACATAGTGTAGTAAGCAGCTTGTACACTAGTAACCAAGATCAGTTACAAGAAACTGAAATCCTACTCCATAAGCTTACATGTCACTACCTTATACTTTGTCGAAAATTTAATGCATTTCAACTTTGAGTTTGCTGATTATCATCCTTTATAGTTCACTTTCATGTTCTTGCTTTCACTTGCAAATGAAGATTGGAACCGTTTTTAAGCGCAAAATTTTAAACTGATACACTGTTGGACAAGCTTTAAAGCTTAGTTGTTTATATACGTCTGCATAAAAAGAATACGAACTATATTTATAAAACAAATGACTGATAAATTCATAATCTTACATTCAGCTTGGGGATTGGGGGTTTGACTTGTTATCGTCAATGTAGAACAGAAGTAACAGTGCAAGCTTTCATTATTTTTGGATTCATAAGACTCAATTCTTAAGTCGTTACTACTCAGATTTAGAAAGTTTATGCGTACACTCACAGTCATGTCACCACCTTTACACTATTTTTCATCAAACCGAGGTTTATCCAATATATTTCAATTTATATTTTTTCTCACTTTTTGAGACATATCCGTGAACTTTATTGTTTTTGGCAATCGTATAGAAGCATCATCGTTGTCATAAAAGCAGAAGCGGATCAAACCATGGTTCTTCACCTGGTGTTGTTAGTGACAAAAGAACTCGTGATTCAAAGTTTGGGCTAGTTGAGGAATTTGAAGATGATGAGACGAATAAACTTCATTTAAAAAGTACCCATATTTGTGAAAATCCAACAGTTAATAATATTTCTGTTCGAGATAACAGCTTGTTATTCAATGATCCAGAAACCTTTGAATATGAGCCGTCTAATATGTCCAACTCGACTCCTAATTTGGACCATCTATTCTCACGCGTACCTGGACATCAAGCAAATCAGGCTTTCATTACCGAACCTGGAGAACATGACCAATATATATCTGACGATTCACAGATACAACAATTATTTCCTGACATAGCCCAATCCACGCCATGCTCTCCTAGAGTCAACAAACTTTTTGAAGATCACTGTGTTTTAGACCCCAGTTTTACTAATTACGAACATTTTGGACATATTTGTCAACCAAATACAAATCTCAACACATATGAGTTTTACGAATGTCAGCTGAGTAAACAGTTAACAAAGTTGAGTATGCTTCACGCTCAACAATTAAATATTCAGGTTTTGTTAGAGCGCGAATGGCTTAAATTGCACAAGGTTAGTTGATAGACATTGTATATTTTTACGCAAAATCATAGAGTTTTCTTGGACCTGCAGAATGTTTGTAAAAACGCCACATAAAAACATAGATGATGAATAATGGTGCTAGTTACCGGCGTCTTTTATTTAATATATACCACACCGGTAGAATCTGTTAGAGTTCAGTTTATCACATAATCTCACAAAAATAGGTTCATCCGGATCATTTATAAATATTTTCATTTTAGGTCAAACAATTAACAACAACTTATAACCAGTTTACTACAAATAGTAATATACAAAATCTGACGACTGAAATATTGTTTTTGGTTGAAATACCATAAAGCCTAGCCATTGCTTAGTGATGTCATATAAATTTACAATATATGTTTTTTGTTTGTGAGGTTAAGCAAAGACGTTTTAAATGTTTGATTGTGTAAGAATTTCATATACATATACGCATATTGCTTAGCATTTTTCAATTATCGTGAGCTAAATTTCAGGAAATGTGATGTTTATTTTACGTTAACGTCTCCATTTGATGTACAGGTCATGCCTAAAATTATATATAGATGGGTTATTTGGGGGGCTTATTCGTTTTTTGAACTGTTTTCCAAAGTCGTTGATGTTATACACCAAAGAACTGAAAATCAATGACCAACTTTAATTAGAGTTACCTTCTACTTGCACGAATGTTGATTTTGTTTATCCGTTGAAAATAAAAAGTTGTTATTATTAGGTCTAAAGTGACTGGTTTGAAAAAATCAATTCCTACTAATAAATTTTCGATATTAGTCCACATGATTGTGGAACTGGTTATCTAGATTTTAACCGCAAAAACGTTTTCGACCATATTTGACTCAGTGTCCATATTTTAATTTTATCATTCAAAACCGGGGATAATCAAAAATAAGAAACTTTAATCGAAAGCATATAAATCTAATTTAGGTTTCACCATTAATAACTGTTGTAAACAAGCTAAACGTTGAATAGATTCAAAACATTTTGTTTCTTCGGCTCGAGTTATGTTTCAGTTTCATTATATGGAAAGAGAATATGCTTTAAAGAGGTTGGAGTATTCACAAATATGCATATATCTAGATGAATATATCCTAAAGTTGTTATTATAATAAAACTAATGATTTTAGTAAAATCAACTGGCATCGTATTATCCTTTTTGTTTTTTTTGTTTATCAAATAAAATTTTATTATCGCAAAATAAAACTGCAAACAAATTCCCAGTATAAATGACGAGACACTAGTATTTGCGCTTATTCGTCTGATGTAGTTAATTACTCGTCAATTTAGATATTTTAACTAGATCTTAGGGTGTGTAGTGCCGAATTCGGTTGCACGTATTGTCTTCCAAATATTATTTAGCGTTCCTCAAAATAATGATATTCAACTTGAAAAATCGTTTCATTTGTAGATAATCTTCAAGTGACAAGTCAGTTTACTGGTAAACGTATAATGTTGGTTAACTAAGTATCCCTTTTTACTGTGATTTCATGGATAATATTGAAATCTTTACACTGTAGCAAGATTAATTACTGGTCACTGAATATAGACTTTAATTTTTGACTAGTTCTTTCTGCTTTAAAATGGTTCTCTAGTTGATGTCACTCTATGGCTGTATTAAAGTATGATAAGATTTTATCTCAATGATTGTTTTTCGATGACACAATGAAGAAATATTTAGTATGATATAAAAGTAATTGTTAATATCTTAAAAATACTTTTATTTTTGTAAGGTATAAGATCATTTGTGATATATACCTAAAAAATGAAACTTTTAAAATCAATGATAGCATAATTGCCAGAAAGCTTTGTGAGTCCTCTTTCACGAAACCTGATTCTTTAGCAAAATCGTCGTTCTATCAATTCCTATAAACTTTACTCTTTGTATTTAAGGAGTATCATGTAATGGTTTTTCAGAATTCGACAATCCGTTGCTCTGTTTTAACAGTACAACTAGTCTTCAAAAACCAAATTAATTATGCAGTTTTACGCCAGTTATCGGAATTGGAATTTCCTTCCTGAAGTAGTTAAGGAAGCAAAATACTACAAGTTATTCAGTCTGGAACACTTTTTATGACAAAATATATTGCCTGTAGATAATTGGTAGAAAGCCGTGAACCCAAGTTTCATCCTGATTATTATTCGTCTGCAGTATCCTTGAAGAATTAGGACACGATATTACAAATGTCACTACCAAATCCATTATTACCGAACACTTTTGACACGAATTTTCTTTTGTATCACCACCATTTTTATTACAGTCGGTCTCTGAGTAAAGGCGTATATGATGTTTGTTGGTTTTTAAGCTTGATTCAGTTCTATAATCTTAGCTCTCAACACCACGAATTATATTATGTGATGTCAGCTTATCACTCTGTTTTGTTAATATAAATAAACTTTATTCAAAATAATTTAGTTTTTGAAATTTCCATTATCTGTCTAATGCATTATTCAACTTTAATTCATTAATTTTTACAATATTCGTCGCATAATGGGTATAATATTTGAACTTCAGGGACAGTGGGAGTGTATGTTACAGATATATAATAGTATTGTAACCTCATAAGAACACTGACATGCATGACTATTTATCCATAGCTGCAGAAAAAGTGTTACTTACAACTTGTCATAACCGAAAAATAACTGATGCAGTTCTGTTTTCTGAAGAAGCCCATACCGTAGATGAGGACCAGTCAGACATCATAAATTAATCAACCACCGGTCAACAACTATAAAAAGGTACATTGATTTGTATTTCTGGTCAATAGTCACACATTGAAATGGACAGTTCTTGATATAACGTACTCAACAAGTTGATCCATAAATGGAATTTGAAATACCAACTTATTAAATTGCCTCAATAAACAAACATAACCGAATCACTGAGCTAGATATTGGCGCAACTGTAAAGTAAAATGATGTGATGTCATTCATAAGATGTAATATATATATATATATATATATATATTAAAGAAAATACGACTTGTTGTTTGAAAGTTTTGAAAAAATGGATAAAATAACTTGAAGATGATAACGATCAGCATTTACCAAAGTTAATTTAGGGAGAAAACTACGATCAGGACAAAGTGAGAGCCTGTATCAATTACCTTTGAATTCGAATATCCAGCTTGCAGTGATAAACCGTAGGTGTTTGTACTATGCACGACATTTTACTCGACATCCTATTTGGGGTAACTAAACTTTGAAAGTATTGTGAAAATGTAGTAATTAAACATTTAATTCTTTGTTGTTTATATTTTATTATAGCTGAATTGTTTGAAAATGGCTAAGTATGGATATAACGATAAGAGAAAATCCGGTAAGTGAATAAGTGGGAGAAATTAATTTTTTTTACCTTAAAATGTTGTTTTAATCATAAAGCTTTTAATACATACTTTAGCTCAAAAGTAATAGATGAGTTAAAAAGCAAAATATAGAAATTGTTCAAAAGGTAATCTAATCTAATAATTTTCAAGGAAATTTTAGATTTTGACAAATCAGCTGGATTTATTATCAAGAATATTTATTATTAGTATACAATGGTCTATATTTATATCGTTCCTCTAATGATATAAAGACATTTGTTTTAATTATCTTCACCTAGTTCATTGACATAGTTCATTGTCAACTTACACGTCTTCAGTATTTAAATATATCAGTAATCAGTAGAGTTCAACCAAGTCTTTTGAGAGATGTCAACTCACTGAAGACATAGTGAAATGGTTGCTCGACTTCGTGAATTGGTTGAAGTTGGACGATAACATCGTTGAATGACGACTCAGTGGTCTGTCGGCTAAGACTGGTAGGTCCTGTGTTCGAATCTCACGAGGCGAGATCGTGGATGCGCACTGCTGTGAAGTCCCACAATAGGACGTAACGACCGTCCAATGCTTTCAGGTTTTCCTTGGTGGTCTAGCTTCAACTGACTCATGATTTCAACTATATACAAAAAATGTTGTACCAAAATAAATAATCTTGTATAATAAATCTTTATAATGTATAATTTCGTATTCCAAGTATTTGATTAAATAGAAAAATGATGTTCACTGTTCATTTTTATTTTCTGTACTAATATCAAAGCACCTATACTTCCCACCTTCCCTCTTCCTGTTGAAATAACTTTCTTATTTCTATGAATAATAACAGGAAATTCTTCGATGTAATCACGAGTTACATTATAGTGAAATCATGTATATATATATCAACAGAATAATCTGGAATTCATTTCTACCAAAATATGTAAATTTATTAAAATATTCTTTTTTTTTAAATAACAGAATTTTCGAACTAAAAATCAATCTTAACAACTATTTGAATTTTTATTAATAAAAAAATAAATAATAACATTATTACTAATCAGATATACAAATATGGTTGTTACATGGATACAGAAATTCATTATTATTCGTTTTAAATTTAACTAAACAGTCTTTTTTTTAGTTGTTATTAATTCATATGAATTAATTCAACTTTAATGATTCACACATTTTAGTGACTTTTAAATTGATTTAAGTAATATACACATGCCTTTTACTTACCTGTTTATCTATCTAATCAAATATCTATTTATTAATCATAACTTAGTAATAAATATTAATAGTTGATTAAAGTTTCTATTGGGTTTCGAATTTTTTTTATGTAATAGTTTATTTGAAGTTACATTCATTTTTACTCCATTGTTTTTCTTTGTCCTTGAAAAGTTGAAGTGTTCATTGAGTGTGTACTAATAAACTTGATAAGCTTTTTATATCTATCGTCATTTTGAAATGGGAGAACTCTTCCTGTTATACTGACGTCAAACGTTTTTCCAATGTAGCTTAATATCACAAGGTAATATCAAATAAAGTATGGATGAAAATTATGGGTATCACTGAGTATCATGAAAAGTTGTCTTCTATGTTGGTAGTAGCTAAAATGCATTACTGGTAAAAAGTATCTCATAAAAGTTAAAGTTATACTGTCAATTGTAGTGAACTAAAAAAAATTGGATAAACATGGTGCAATAAAACGAACTGAAATATCAGCAGAGTATAATTTTTTATACATGGATCATGTGATGAAAGTGATAATCTGAACAAACAGCATGATCATGAGATGTGGTATGTCTGAAGGACAACCATTTCAATAAAGATATTTGTATCCAACATTAAATAATACATATGATCAAATGCTTATGGGTTCATTTCAGACATATACAACAAGAATGAAAATCTTGAGCAGAGAAAATTCGATCAATTTATTTATAGACTAGGTTTTAACACTACACAGGGCCACCCGTGGAATTGTTTCGATGATATTTTATGATGGGATACATTTTAACAATACTATTAAGTGTCTGAGAAATATGTACTAAAAATAACTGTTTGGATTTTTCTAGATCCTATTCAGATAAAAATGGACTACCTTAATTTTTCATGGGCAACACTATATGGGAACCTGGTTTTTTTCAAATTGATGTCATTACTAGCTAGTTCGTATTTGGAAGAAGGTAGTCAATGTCTGAGTATTTTGTGCACTCGTTTTCAACAAACCATTTTAGCTATAAACTCTGATAAATGCTTTTTTTGTGTCCAATTGCTGATTTCCGGACGATTAAATCACCCTAATCAAAAGTTGTAAGGTAGATGGTCTGAAAACTAGTGTTCTAATCAAAAATATTTGTAATTCCATCTGTAATCGTAATGCGAGTTATTTATATATGATTTATGATTGATTAAATGACCATATAAAGAGAGTCATTTTAGACATTTCTAGATATTGACATCTTAATAATATGATATTTACTTTCTTGGTTTTAATTTCATCAGTATAGAAGTCATGAAAATTGTTGAATCTTGTTGAGATCACAGACCTATGTTAGTTGGATAACCATTGGAAACTTAGAACCATGGGATCACTGCTTCATCCTAGTGTGCGACCTTTTAACAATACACACCCACGAACCTACCAATTGGGGTCAAACTCGGGACCTTTGGTTCTGGGAGTAAACACTTTATCTCCAAACTACTGAGCATTTAACTTCAATAAACAATTTGCTCAAGCTCTGCACAGTTGAACTTCACTGGTCACAGCCTTTCCATGGAACTCCTGAATTCCCCGTCACTAAGCTAATCACTAGTAACCATATAATGATTATCAGTGAGGACTCTGTGGAAATTGTTGAATATTTTGACATTTAACTTTGGGTAAAGTAAGCGTATTTGTAATTTTATTTCAAAATGAATACATTTAGCCAAAATGATTTAAACTTAATATATCGAGTGAAAATTTACATATTCTTTCTTTATTTCATATTTACTGTTGTTTAGAAAACTATGACCAACCTCACTTTCCATTCATTGAAAACACAAACAGTGCAAGATATGTACATTCAGCAAGTAACACTAATACAGTACCAATCCGTTCACCTGAAATGCATAATATGAATTCACTTAAAAATCATAATAATTTACTTTATACAAATAAAAATTTCAAATCAGCTGAATGTGGATTAAATATTTTAGATAGTGACGATAATCAAGTATTTAATATTGATACATATAATGATAATACTTTAACAAGAATGCAAGAACGAAGTCGTATTAGTGTAGATGGAGAAACATTCGACTTCAATTCAAATTGCCGCATGATTTCGCCAAATTATATATTAAAAGATAGAAAACCTGTACACAATTTGAGTAAGAAATGAGATTATATTTTGTTATATATTTTTAAACTTTGTTTTATCATGCAGTTTACGATAATATGGTTTTAGTAAGTTAAGATTTAATATATTCATAGCTTATATAACCATACACCCTATGGTTTTTAAAAAGTAAACTGGTATTATAAGTGAATTATTCACACGAAAACTGAAAATCCTCTTGACTGAATGTTGGTACACTGATATACTAATCAGATTGAATAATTTTGATGTCTACATTTAGGTTTCTAGCCAGAAAGACCATGTTTCAGGTTCCTGTATATCAGGAAGACAAATAGAGGAATGGTTAGAATAAATAATTTATTTTGGAGTGTTAGCTGCTTTCATTGAGTTGAAGCTTTGGAAACCTAGCTATGTTGTATTTTGAATGTGGATGTAACAATTTACACACGCAACTCCTCTACGCTACACTATCATATCTTTTAACTCAGAGAATTTCTTTATGAAAATGAGGTTTTTTAAATAATCGCTGTAACATTATAAATATTCATTTGATAGATCATAGTATACTTTAGTCATAAGGGCTTCTATTAACTCACTAAACTGAACTGATAACCATCAATTTTATGAAGCTTATCATATCTATGTACTCACTGTGGTTAAGTTAATGTTGATAAGAGGTTTTAATGGCAAACTATTACGATTGCACCAAATATCTCGGCCTAGCGATTCATATAATCTGCTTTACTTTTAAGACCATAGGTTGTTGATCAGTATGGACCTATAAAACAAGATGATATGATGTCTGTCTTGGTTGCAATCAAAAGATCACACTAGGCTTAGTAATTTTCGAAGCATATCTGTCAAGAATTCATTTTTTGAGTAACTGGTTGAAACAAAATTTTCCTTATATGTTTCTCTGCCCGAATAAAGTTAAGAAATAGGCAGTTCTAAATTCTCTTCTGATTGGTGTTTGCTAAACCAGCACCAACCTCAACGTCGGATGTTCGATTTTGTAGGAGCGATTCGGAGGAAAGGTGGAGATAAGCAAATCTAAGTGTGTTATCAGTACATTAAATCAGAGGCTGTTAATATGAGCAATAATAGTAGATGCAGACTACGAGCTTACAATCCGTTTGAAAACCGCAGTCAGTAGTTGGGTGACATGACTCAGAATTGATCATAGTCGCTGAGATGCATACACTCTTCATCTTGTTCTACATTTTGGGTCCTAGTATTCTTTTATTCTGATTGCGAACCATGTTTATGATGTTCCTCACTAGCATTCCTAACACACTATTTTGATTTTTTTACCATTCACTTTGTTAATTTTATTCGGGTGTTCTGATGTTCAGGGCGATTCGGGCCAATCCGAATTTGTACAACGAATTACGTAGATTGTAATTACTTGTAAAATTGGTTCAAAACGATGTTGGTCAGTCAAACAATTTTTCAAACGGACAAATGTGGTCTATATCGACTGTATGTTTACCATACGTTAACTCCTAAAACAGGAATTTTTATCAACTACCATCAGCTTTACTGAGATTAAAGCATTAGCTGACTCTGTTTAAGAATGGAACTTACAAAGTATCTGAGTTACCGAACAGTTTATACTGTTACTGATAACACTTGCTTTCGATCTGGGGTTTAAAGAAACACGAAAAAAATGTTTTCTAAGATAGGAAGATCGCTTTGAGCACACTAGAGATGATCACATACCACTGTTAGAGGTATTGGTGTTTAGTTCCAATACTTCAATCATTGCTCTTTGAATGAAACTACACTAAACAATACAAAGCATGTAGGCCGTGTAGTGTTATTTGTCAGAGGAGTTGCGACCAATTTTCACAACCAAAGTTTAAAAGTAAGAGCGTATACTTCAAATATTCAAAGGTTGTTTGTTTTGACATCTAGTTTGAGAATGAGGACTGACGTGACAGCCTTCTTTACCACTTCACCTATTTGTCAATACCAATATTATACTGGCTATCTGAGTGATTTAACCCTGATATTGATTTGCCGAATTATAACAACTAGGAGTTGTCCTACTTCTGATCACGTCGTAAGTTTACTGTGCAGAATTCTACCTCATGTTACCATGCAAATGTTGAAAAAGAACAACAATTGGTAATTTCAAGTGTTTCTTAATGTGTGCCTTTGAATATTATTTTCATTAAATACACATACCGAATTACCGCCCACTCTAACATCGGAATTAAGATTGACCAGTTTTATAAAGAGCTGAGGTTAGTCAGATCAATCAAAACATAACACTAATCGGTTACTTTCGTTACTTATATTTGCTTCTAATGATTATTATGGAAATTCATATGAATAAATGTAAGAACATTAAAATGATTTTGCAGAAAATGTATGTGGATCTATAACAATATTTCATATTGTTCAAATGGACAAAATAATGTAAAAACTAAAGTAACATTTAAACAAATTACACTTTGAAATATACGTTTTTTTATTGTTTGGTTTATGTTCGATACAGTTTTATATTACTATTTTTAAAACAAATTGCAAATCTACTTTTATCAGTGATGAACTAGCAATCAGATGATCATCTTTTGTAGTACAATATCACGTAACTGTACTGGCATCAGATGTGAGAGGAAGAAAGGAACTTTGAATTATTAAAATTCTGTATATATATATATATATATATATATATATATATATTCCTTTTACTGTTGAAACAAAAATTTAATTACAAAAAACAATCTGTCAAGTTATTGACAGAAATTAACTTTAAGTTATTTATTTCCTATACACTAATCTTGTTCACATGGTAACAACAGGTAACTAGAAAGAATATACAGTTTAAATTCTATTACTGAACATGCTTTGTATTAGGTAGTTAATAATAAAATATGATATTTTTAATAACATAGTTACTAATAATGATTAAATAACAAAGAACTAGACTACTTTACTAGCAGAAGTCAATAAAAATTTTCTTCCATTTCAAACACATTCGATTGATGATAACCAACAATTGTGAAATAACTAACAAAACTAGTTATCATTAGATTCCATCATGAAGTGATATTTTAGTAAAAAGTATAATTTATCTATATGTGTTACAATAACAGTTTTTTGAGTTTTAGACGTGCAAGATATAATGATATACTAATTATAAGAAAAACATTAAATCAACTGTGGTTTAAATTCATAATGCACAACTAGTTTTTCACCCATTCCCCCATAGCATGTTCCACACCTGTTACCCAGTAAATATCAATAATTTTTGCAGTCATTACCTTTCTATTAATAATGATCTCTATTAATCTTGCTATCAGTAGTTCAGACTCGAGTTTGAGTGTGGTCATAGCCAAAGATAATCTGTTTCTCAGATTACCACAACTTTATATATTTCAGACCAAAAAAAGTGCTCACCTAGACATTTTGAGCACATATTTGGATAGAATTTAAACCAATCACTTTTTTAAATATTTATGGTTATGCTGTTGACATTTATTATTAGGACTAAAGAAAAATACCACAGTCAATTTAATGTCAGGCAATATTACGTTGCTGACCACCACGAATTCTCAATAAGTGTAAAATTCGGAGTAAAATATGGAGTAATTGTCATCGAAATTGGATCGTGGCTAGCGGTGAAAAACGGAACTAGCATTTCGTCCTAGTTGGGATGCTTCTGCTGCAGGAAACCTTTATCTAACTATTGATAATCTCACTGTGACTCAAACTCACTACCTTTTACTTCTAACAATAACGCGTTATCCAGTGAACTACTGATTGCAAATGGCTAGTGATCTGGGTGAAGGATGTCGTTTCGATTCGAAAGGCTTTTAATCTTTTTATCGTTAATGTGAAGGATTACGTGCTTACCAAGCGGATCATCTTGAAATGTTAAGTATATTCAGATAATAAGTTCTAAATAAGATGGAAAGCGTTTCATGAATTCCACTCCCTGCCAATATACATCATTAATAGAAACTTGTGACTAAACGAAAATATCAAGACAATTCCATAAATATGCACATTTACAAATATAAATTTATGATTTGTGGTTCGGAACATCAGCGCCTGGAAAATAAAAATTCTTGTAAATCAAATAGATTCTCAAATATAGAGTGGTGTTATGAACTGTTTAAATTACATTAAAATAGTTGAATGTTTTAAACATTAATTGAAAAGTATTAAACATTTAAAATAACTGTATCAATATTCGGTGTACAGTTTACTTGAGCAGTTTTATTTTTATTTTTCAATATAGATTCAACCATACTTTATAATAGGGATCAACTTTACTCACAAGAACCACCGAATCGTTTAATTCAAAGTTCACAGTCAAACGGTTACAGAAATTATCCGCAAGTTTTTAACAAACAGTTATACAAATTAGCAGCGAAAAATAATTATCATTTGTCTGAATTAAATGATCAACAAATTATCAAAAAACCAAGTGTACCAAAAAACGGTTCACCATCGAAAGAAAGTTATTTAACTTCTTCTGAAATTGAAATTCACTTACCAAGACAAAATAAGTCCTATCAAGCAAATCAACATTCAAAGAAGTCACTTCAGACTACTATGAATTCTAATAATATCGATATAAACAATCACAGCTTAACAAGAATGCATACAGAAAAACAGAATTTTCAACAATCCAAATTCAATAAATATTCAGGTCCTGATCGATCATTTTCGAAGAAATGTTTAAAATCCGATAGTAAAAAAAAGATTTTGTTAAATCGAGATGATTCAAAGCTACCAATAAATAGATCTAAAAGTCCACCACAAACGTTTATATTACGTAAAAGTGTATCGCAACCTTGTATTTACAAAAATGATCTAAATAAGGAAGAAATTAACAGGTATTTAAAAAAAATGAATATGTATTACTGAATGCTACTATTCATTTGTCGAGTTTTTTAATTAATGGTACTAGCTTAATGAAATGAAATCCGTCTGAAATAATCGAAGATCTCGTAAATTTTTGATAGACAAAATTATTTGGAATTCATGTCCTGATTCTAATTGTTTAATTCATTTAGATATGTACAGAGAAAAAGAGAGAAATCACTACAGCAATGAAAAACAGTTTTGGAATTTCCAACAAAAGGGTTTTTATTACTATACTTTCACCTAAAAAGAAAGTTTAGTGAATAGTCTGCTCCTCCTTAATACTCTTGTGATATTAACGTCGGAAGTGTAATGATTAATTAAATTTTGAAATGGAATTTAACAATGGGATTCAACATTTCTTATACTAGTTATTTAGCCAGTTTTAAGTGATTTTAACTGGATTAATTTCATTACATAGAATAATACTGATTTCCAAAAGAACACTTTAAGTTTTAGAAATTTGAAATGATTTCTGTTTCTATAATTTCTGTGTGATTATCGTTTCGCAGTATTTAACATCTTAATAAATTATTGTGGGATATATGAAATTATCAGTATAGCTTTGCGGAGATTATTGAATTTTTATTGAAATAATGAACCAACAAATGTTAGATCAACATTGAGAACCTGAAAGCACTGGGCGGCCATTTCTCCCTAATGTAGAATTCCTCAGCAATGCGTAATCATGATTCTGTGAGTTGGAATCGGAGTCAGGATATTCGGGCTCGCGCAAACGCTAAACCTCTGAATCGCTGGGCCTGCATCTTTTGTCCAGTGCTTCCAGGTTTTCAATAGTGGTTCAACATTTATCGGTTAGTGGTCTCAATCTATAAATTTCTCTGAATGTGGGAAATTTTCAAGGCCAGTACACACACTTATATACTTGAAACAGTTATTTATTATTGATATATTTATGTAATACAGTGAGAGGTTTGTCAAAACTATGTGATATATTGAATAACATTGAAACAACTGTGGTTTTAATTTGTTATTCACAACTGTACCAGAATTAATAAACAGTTTTTTTCCCTTCCCTTTTCACTCGTCGCACTGATAACCCAAAATAAATAATAGCAATAATAATAATGGAAGTTGAATGTTTGTTATCTGCTTTTATTATTTAATTTAGCTTTTTGTAACTACTTTCGTAGATGTTTATCCGCCCCATATCGCAAATCACAATTAGTCCCCTATTCCATAAGTGTGTTCACAAAAACATGTAAATTGATAAACACAATGGAATGAGATGCAATCGTTTATATACTGTTTACATTCTTATTATTCCAGCACTGGTTTTAACTTTTTTGCATTTGATTCATGCATCGTGAGAGGATAAAATATAATAATTGAACTGAGTGAGTAAATTCGACTTCTATTAGGTGTCCAACAGGATTAATGTTACATCAGTTACCGCAGAATAAGAACTGTGTTGTTGATTAACAGTTAAACAGTAATAATTCTATAAAAATTAACTGAGAGCGATTTGTAATTTTTATTGTTTACATCATAAAATAATGACCTTAGTTGGGTATAAACTGTAAAACTTCAACAGTATCCATAATCCCATTCACGCTTAGTTGTGATTGTTGTAGTTTTTTGACATACGCTAACTGTATTTTATATATATCCCAGGAAAAGACTGAAAAACTCCCAAGCATGATTTTACCAACCAAACAAATGATCATTACTTTAGATGGACAAAAATTAGAACTACCTTATCGGATAATATTATTTTAGCGACATAAGAATTAATTAAGCGATGATTTAATTACTGAACCAGAATTTTTACTTCACTCATTTTGAATAATGTTTGCTGATAAGTAGTTTAACATAAGTTCAGCTGTAGCGTCAAAATATTAAATCGGAGCGTTAAGTTGTTGAAAAATGTGTCAGTAATGTGACTCAATTGTCATAGTTATTTAATTGTAATATTCTGGAATTATGGCATAAAGTAAATGGCTTTTATATTATCGATGATGAATTTTATCTAATCAGGGTCTATGAAATTCGACTATTAGTCCATATGAAAAGTCTGTGATAGAGCATACTTGTTTAGTTTTTGACGGGCTAAGAAATTTATATGTTTGTCTTAGTTCTCGTTTACTTGTAGTCGTATACAAACAGGTGTAATTTCTGAGTAGTAAAGTTGTTTAGGCTAAGTCATAAAAAAGCCAATAGTTGGTACATTTTTGCCAATAATTCAACCAACTGTTTTCAGTCGGTTATCAAACAAGTTCGCACTCTAGAAAAGAAATGTTTGTGACGAAACCTAACAATCTAAGTCCATTTTATGAGATAAGTATTCATAAAACTATAGAACAATCTAATAAAATTTTCATACAACTAAACGAAACAAAGTTGAATGTCATTTAAATTTGATAGGAAGTGTTAACTTCTTGCTTTGTGCCATTTTAAGAAACAGTAAATTAGTGGGATAACAATAGTAGTTACATAGTTCACTTTAGAAAGTATGAATATATAATTGATGCAAAGTAAGTAACAATCCATAGAAATATGAAAATTCGTGGATATTTTCATTTGAGCCTAGAACTAATTAACTGTATTCATAAGGAAAATTTACCATATTATCGATATTCATAACGCGTAATTATTGTTAATATCGTTTCAAATGAGATTATTAATGTTTTTAAAAGAATATGTCATGTCATGTCATCTAGAAGCAGCATCAATTTGAATGAGATTCCCACTCCTTTATTTTCATTTATTCATCAGGTCGTTTAGTTGAAAGACCATTTGAGCTGTGATATATATGTTATTTAATCCAAGGTCTCACTGACTTACGTGCAAACACGCATACACAGTTCTAAAGTGTGTGAATGAATATTAGCTTTCTTAACAATACTTTAAAGCTGGAAAAATTGATTATATCTTCTTATAGTCATGTACGTAAATCGACACAAGCATGATTACAATAGGCTATTTTAACAACACATTGCGGAGCGAATTCTTTATTATTTCAGTTATTATAAGAGACCTAGTTTCTAATAATAATAATATTATTATTATCAGTGGTAATGATAATGAAATTATGTTTTTTGAGCTGAGAAAACAGACTAGATGCATTGGAAAGTATTAATTTAGTTTCATTTCAAAACGATACGTATGATGTATAAAGTATGAAGTTTTTTCAATAATACACTTCTCGATTAGTTGTAGTTTGATTTTTAAGCATTTAATTAATATTTTGACAACGAGCTTCATTATTTAGAAAATTTAATCGTATTACAAATCGCCACTATGTAGTATGATCTAATAAAATTGTTTGTTAAATTTACAAAATTTAGTTCATGTTTGAAAATATATAAGCACCTCAAACAAACAAAATTTTGCGAAAAAAATAATTGAAAAGGTTGATTGCACAGTAATAAGCTCTAGAGATTATTTTGAGAATCGACACTTTTAATAAGGTCATTTAATAAAAATTCATAAACCTTTTTTCTTTATAACACTTTAAAATAGTATAAATCTAATCAATAATTCTTAGGATGCATATGTTACTGATCGATCTCAGTTGAGGTAAATCTGAAAACTAGGGCGCGTAAGAAAGATGATTCTTTCTAGTACGGGAATCTTTAACAATGTCCACTCATTATACAACCAATGGTCGAACCGAGAACTTTTAGATCTCACATAGAAAGTTTAAATATTAAAACCATTGAGTCAGCGTCATGTAGTACAATTTTAAGACTTATAATTTGTATCAATGCATTAACCAAACTACTACTCATCAGATTACTCACATTTTATTTTTCTATATGTTCATTATACATATATATATATATTTCTAATGCAGATCGAGTCCTCCTCAAAAGCATCCTCTTGTCAAACAAAGTAGTGAATTGAATGCAAACAGATCATCAGCTGAATCAATTGATGGAGAAATCTTGGATATTGATTATAAAGCTTCATCATCATTATTGTTTGATCACAATGATAAGAATAGTGATATGAAGAAAATTACTTTTAATGGTGTTGTTAATTGTGGTAATGATCAACATTGTTTACAAGAGACTAGTCAATTGTTATCATCATATCCGCGTATAACAAAACAAGTTACTAAATTACCTAAACACATTGAAGTGGATAAAGAAAAAGATTATGAATATAGTTCAAATTCGACAAGTCAATCAAGTACTTCAAATATCACAAATAATCATATAAAAACTAAACATAAATCTATGACCAATTATCACTATAATGATAATAAATTAAAAGTTGTTCATGCAATTGATAATACAAATAGTGTGAAGAAGTAAGTAATATGAGTGTATTTTTAATGGATTTTAAGTCACGAACAGATTTTAGACTATTATTAAAGGTTTGGAAACACTACTTGGCTATTTCCTTTCAATATAAGACACTTCAGCGGTACTCATTCATAACATCATATCTCGGAATCAAACCCAAGACCTTCAGTCGTAAGGTCTAGCGCTTAAGCTCTAAACCATCAACTTTGAATTCGACGAAATACAAATTTAGTTTTAGTAAGTCTGCGATTTCGCGCGACCATTTTTCACCGTCTCTGATAGGTATTTTCTTCATTTTTGACACTATTGAGTTCTATTGGTCATAGATTTTCACCAGAACTTCGGGAATCGCATCTTAAAATTAAATGCCAGTGAGCACATAAATATCAGCTTGTGGTTTTGAAATTTATGAGAATTCTGTAATTTCCATAACATCATATATTGGTATGTACACCTAAATCGCAACATTTGTTGAGATTTTCAACAAGAGTGATTCTGGCATACCATCCTACAAGAGTTGTTATATGAAATTTTATACTCTTATAGTAGCCGATATTCTATTAAGTTTTATAATTCCATTTCTTCCTCGTAATTATTTTTAGACCGATGTATGAACAAAATAAAACTAGTTATAGTATTATACATATTTCAAAAGAATGTAAACAAAATAATACTATTGATCGCAATGATTCCTCCATCTTGTCAAACTCTTTGTCCACGCTAAGATTGTCAAATACAACTGCGAATCAACAAGACCAAATTATTAGTAGCAACTGCACTACTTCTATGATAAAGAGTAATAATAATAATGGTGATTTGAATAAATGTATAAAACATACATCCGATGATCCGTTGAATAATTATGAGTTGGATTTAACAAATGACTCTGGTATATCATCTGTGAATAAAGATTCGACAATACCAAGTGGTGTAATCTGTTTACATAAAGAAATTAATCATATGGTATTTGGTCCTTCTCGTAATCTACTCAATAATGCTTTGTTGAATTTCACAATTAGTGAACGAACAAATAGACCAACATGGTTAGCTTTATGTACGGATGAAATGAAAGTTTTTGTTTATGATTTATGGGTAAGCAATGAGTAGATTTATTCCTAATTATAATAGAAATCAAAATTAATAATTAGTGTTATTATTCTACTGAATGTAGAACTCCGTATACAGAAGTTAAAAGTAGTAAATGAACAATGTTGAATTGATAAAGGTTATGTAAGTGGAGATAAGTCGTAAACTGTTTTTAACTTTACATGATATCATTTTTAATTTCATTTTCAAGCTTTATAGATGGTTCCCTAAAGCCGATGGTATGGAGCAACTTTTTTTAAACCACTGTGTCTTCTCTCATGCCTGTCTTTCAGAATATACTTAATGCTTATGATGTCGTACACTTCAATATGTTGTCGATTATGGTTTAAAATATGACAAACAAATGTCTACACTAAAGTTGTATTGAGTAAATTAAATTTCATGACGAAATAGTTATCGAAAACGTTTTTTCACTGATATCCTTTGTGATTTCGATGATCCGATTTCATGATGTTTGACCGTATCTAATTCGGTACTGAATATAGATATATATTACTTGAAATAACAAATGCATTTTGACGTCTCAATCATGCTAGTCCAATCGTTACTGATTAAAACAATGTAGATTGATATTGTTTTAATTGAAAATATTGATTAGCACATCTAATAAATTATGACTAGTGCAATGAATTATTATTCATGCTCAGTGAATTTTAGTTTGATTCCACCAACCAAATCAAGACAAACAGATATATCAATAACGAATCATTAGTTGTAAAAACAAAACTTACTCAGTATAATTTAATGTTTCACGTGGTACACACATAAAAAAGTAAAAATAGACCCAGAAACTCGCTAAGAAATGTTTAAACCATGCTGTGTTGAAAATATACTTTCATTTAAAATTACTAAATAATACTGACACTGTTTTTTTTTCATTTTCTGGCATTCGCTCTAAAAGGAAACAAGTTAAAATATGTTGTTATACAGAAGCACATATAAAAAGCTAAGCTCTACTACAACAACACGAACAAGTTCTTCACTTGTGTTAATTGTATTAAACAAGACAAATAATCACAATTGTTTTTTATTCCCCAATTTGTAAATTCTAAATACCAAAGAATATGTATATAGTAGACACAAATTTCATTATCAGTATAGGATTGTGGAGATTGTTGAGGTTAGATTCATATATCATGAATGAAACAATGTCCAACCACCATGGGAAACTTGAAATCACTGAACAGCAGTTTTGTCCTGGTGTGGAACTCCTCAGCAGTGCTCACTGGTGACTAGCTTCAAGATTGATTTCTCGGAGTTCTAGTGAGAAATCGTGACCAATGGAGTTCAACCATGTCTGTTATGAGGCAGTTAACCACTGAAGACAATGGTGGACGTTTGCTCAATATCGTGGATTGGTTAAGTTAGACATTACGACTATTGAATGCCAGCTCAGTGGTATAGAGGTTAAGCGGTCGGGTGAGACTGAAGGTCCTGCATTCGAGTCCCTTCGGTGAGGGATCTTGGATGCTCACTGTTTAGTCCTGTGCTAGAACGAAACGAAAACAAAGTTTTCAGGTTCCTAATGGTGGTCGGACATTGTTCCATTCATGATATATCAACAAATTTAATTCATAATCCATGCAAAAATAAATATAAATTCTAAAATGAAAGCACCTAACTAGCATGTTATTTATTTAATTTTAGTACACATTTATGGTTAACTAACTTTTACTTCTGAGTTGTGCAAAAATACCATCATAATCAATCAATAAAAAGGAATTTATCGACTGAACTTTTAAAAGTATCAAAAAACAGCTATTCGGTGATAACGATCAATGCATAACGGTCAAATAAGAGACTAGTATTCGAAAAATACATATTCCTTCTGAAGTCACTAATTCACATACCTCATTTCAAACTCATAATAACTCAATATCGTAGACTAACATCCCTCACCTTAATTAGTTTTCACAATAGATTAGTTAAGGAATGCTGGTTGATAATCTCTGATTCATATCTAGTTAGGAAAGTGTTCTGATGGAACATTTGAAGAACGCGTGAATTTATTAACAAGTCGTTCTCACTCATTAAGGGAAAATATCTGTCAAAAATTTAACCTTTACATCGAACCTAAAATATAATGAGATCATAGAAGATAAAAGCAGTATCGCTTGTAAAACAGCTTACTCTTTTAGGTTAGCAACCTGATCTTTTATCTCTTAGTGTTAATAAATCCTTTCTGATTACGAAAACTGCTAAAACACGTGGTCATAAACGTTCTTACGAATAGACGTACTATAAAAACTCATTCTTCCTTTCAACAAAAGCTCATGATACCACATGCTAAGGCAAATTAGTTAAAGGCTCGCTTGAAAAAACAAGTCTTCAGAAATAAGAGATCCGATCTTGTGTATTTCAGTCTCTCAAAATTTCTTTTCAGAAATGTGGTTGTGAGTTTAAGAAATAGATACATCTAAACGTTTTATTCTTCAACATAAAGTAGAATGATCTGAAAAAAGTAAAGGAATTGAAGCTATTCATTATATGACAAACCGAAACGGTCAGTCCTCCGAACACGTTTAAATCTTGTACGTGAATAACATATATTAACTACGATCTCATATAAGTCAGGTATAGAATCCGAAATGTACTCTTATCCAAATTTTAGGATTCATCAAGGACTAATGACAAAAATTGAAACCTCCATGAATGGCTTGTTTAAACAACTGTTAAATCTTGATGATCATTGACCTAAAATATGAAATTGAATCCAAAGAACTGATAACAATAGGAATTTACATGGTCATGGCTGGTTTGCGTTACAACTCTCCTACTAGTTTTGAATTATAATAGGCTTCAAATTATTTACTCATCTAAAGTGCCTGATTTGGCCCAAAACCTCCCTATTATTACCTTTGCAGTGTACAATTCTCTATAGCTTAACATCATCGGTAAATATTAAGATGGATTACTTTGTCATTCATTGTAGATCATTTGCATAAAGTTAGAATAGAACAGGGTTAAAATAAAATTTTACCATGTTTATTCGAGATTTGAACATATTTATTTAACAGACAATTTTGAGAATTAAAATCATCACTTTTTATTAACTAACTACATGTTAACACTTGATTAGTAACATAATCTATACTTTCAAAAGCACAAATAGTATATCTATTTACCTTTAAAAGGATTTTCACAATTAAAAGTAGAACTTAAAATTTCGAAATATTATAGAAGATTCTGCAACATACTTGATAATAATACAAATACAATTGATTATCTATTATATTATAAATGACAAAATAAACCATATGCAAACAAAATTTATAAAAATCAAACATCGACGACATCAATTGAAAGTCACATTTTTAACGAACGAGCTTCTGATACTATAATAAATGTACAATTTCAAAATTACTTTATGATTATGAAACACCGCTATCATTCAGATCTATCTCCAGTTAAATTTAAACAAATTGAAAATTTCATTACTTAGTAGCATTAAAATTTAAAAAAAAAAGAATATGTTATGCAACTGTTATCCTGTGATGTTTCAATTTCATTCTGTCACTCATTGCTAAAATAGATTTCGTCATTTATGTATGCATACCTTTACAGGTAAACTATTTAAGGTTATTAATCATATAGTTACATGTACATGGATTCGAAAACATGTCAGTCAACTTTATTTAAAGAACTAAACTAATACTCATGTTTTCTTAGTAATTCCTGACAAGAATCGTCAGAAAAAATTAATCAGTAAAGAGAATAAGCGAAAAGAGCAAACTAAAAAAACCTTTTGTTTAGAAAAATTAAAATTTAATTTTGCTCAGTAATTCAAAACTAAAAATAACAAGTGTCAATAAATCTTTATTAAAATATGGTTTGTGTGTATAAATAAATAAATGTATAATTTTATTCCGTTTTTGTAGTTTACGTTAAGCACGAAAGTCTAGCTAGTTGTTTCAGTCTAATACTGAACTCCTCAGTAATATGCATCAACAATTCCACTAGATATAAATTAAGAAGTTTCGGTTTTTGATATAAATGAAAAAAAACGAACAATGTATACAAAACTGTCATGCTAATAAAAGTCGCGTTCCTACTGTTGACTAACTCAGACATTATGTTGAGAGTCATAGAAAACCAATGAGCACTGAAGAACAGTTTCATTGTAGCCCAGGGCTCTTTAGCGTTTTGCGCCTACAATTGAGAACTAGATCAAAACAGTCAGAGTATAACTAACTCATTAACAACTCTACTGGGTCCATAGATCACATTTTATCTTCATAATTATTTTAGATTCATCTCAAAATAGTTGTCAAGCATATCACTAGTCAGTAAATGTATTTAACTCAAGGGAGTTTCCTACGTAACAGGTTGATTTGATAATATATTGAAACTAATATTATTCAAGGGTTCTTTTCTGAAAATAATAGTAATGAATTGATTTAGTATATTTAGGATCTTTTTGTAAAATAAGTGTATTTTGTAAATAAACATTGTAAAAATTCATATTTTGCACATACTTATTAAATAAATACACTGAAAAAATTATTATTATCAATTCACTAAGAATCCACCACTAATTCTGTTCTGTTTTTCTGGTATAGATACATAATAGGTAAAGTTAGTGTATAAGTCTGTATTTTTCAAGCATTTAGCTATAACTGGTCAAGGTTATGAATGTCAGTCTACATTTTAGACATTTGATTTTCAGAAAAAGGTAGATTGTTTCATCAACATTCAATAAAAGCAAAATAGTTTCTTCGTTATAAACAAACAGATAACATTTGGTTACCAATAATTGTGGAATTAGAATGAAGTTGTAAATATTTTGCGATTACGAATGCCAACAACATGTGACACGGATGGCTATATGAAGGCAATCCTCAGAGGATGGGCGTATTATAATAAAGAATCATCAAGAATGCTTCTTAATATCAATAACGAGATAACTTAAATCTTTACTAATATTTACTAATACTAATCTTAACACTATACTCATTGAACAGGCTAGTAGATATATAGACTCAGTGGTTTAATGAATAACACTTTGAGTGTTTGGAGCTGATGGTACTGGATCCGAGTCCTGGTGTGAATTACAACAGTGAGTTTGAAGTATTTCCGACTGACAATTTCCAGGTAGAATCAAACACTCATTCTGCTGATAAGCAAATAAACTCTTCTACGTAAATAACAGAGTTACATTAAACTAACTCCAAATTTATGGAATGACTAAATAAAGATATCAATTTTGTTTATGCACAAAGAAACAACTCATTCTTCTTTATTTCTATCCTAATAATTTTGATTTTATAGACTCATAGTTGTTTAACGGAATTTATGAATCATGCTATTTCATCAACAAGTCCAGTAATACATCTGTTCTCATTGAATCCACTAGAATATTCTGACAGTAATTCAAAAGCACATGTTGGATTTCTATGTGTTGTTCAAAAGAATGGAATTTTAACACTATATAATATAGCTGTATGTTGAGAATACTATTTTTTTTAAATCGTTTTTACTTTATTGTTTTGTAACAAATTTGTAGCGTTATTGAAAAGAACAATGTCTATTGATAAATGAACACACATAAACATATATAGAGATATAAGAATACATTGAATTGAGGTTTCTATGAGAAAAGAGAGATTCATTTATTGTCATAGAATTTTGTCGATAGATACTTTTAAATAATAATGATTAAAACAAAAATTATGTAGTGAGATATTTTGAAATTTGCGGGAAAAATTTGACAGTGAAATGTATGATTCTAATCATTTAAACAATATTAAAATTTTATTTAAATAATAGATTTTCAGTAAGAAATGGTGTAAGTTTATTTATTACAAATTCTCATTTTTATTGACATAATCATTTAATGAATGAACAATTAAGAGCGGTTTATTAAAAAAGTAAGATACCCGTGAGTAATTAGGAAGAAAATAACAAAGTTATTGTCATTAATACGTAGCAACAATTGAAGTTTATTTATTTTAGTGCAGAATAAGATTCAAATTGTATTCCTAATACGGTATTTAAAGTTTCCTTATCAAATATATTTTGACTAAATGGTATCGATTATCATCTAATTTCATTCAACTGTAAAAATGATAATTTTAGGTGCTAAATGTATTTATAAGCTTCTCTCTATTCATGGCTAATGTGCGGATAACTTCGAAGTGGTTATACGTTTCCTCGGCAAAACATCAGATGGTATTTTATCGTTGTATTAAGGCTTTGTAACAACTATTGAATTTTAAATTTTGCATAACGAACCAATCTTAGTTAAACATTTACTGAAAACCGGGAAGTATTAAAAAGTTGTTTCCTCTTAGTACGGAATTCCTCACCGCAGTGTACACTAATGAATCTGTCAAGGATGAAACCTAAAACCTTCAGATTTCACATAGAGAACTTATCCTTTGCACATTTGTAGCGGAATCCAGTAGTTTACAATCTTAAGTCCAATCACTCTATGACACCTCGTGACTATATTCCGCCTTCATCCCATCCGACGTTGTTAAACTCCACTGGTCATTTTAGCAATCTTGTCTAAATTTAACATACCTATCTTACCATTTATAGAAATAATATATTATTGTAATAAATAAATTGTACTAAGGTCTTTAAATTTATAGTTTCGAAATACACATTTTTCACCCGTTAATTATGATGATCTCATGTTCTCAGGTCCGAAGAGTTTATTCGTTAATTACGTCATACTTAACTTGACATGTGACTGTAAAAATAAATTTGCACACAATGGAATCTTATCTAGTATCACAAATATACTACAAATCGAATCAGTTCATTGAAAAATTGTATAAACCATGAAAGATGTTAATTAACAGTTTGTCATAAAGTTACAATATGTTAACGAAATTAATACACGTGATCTATGATTACTAAGTTAAAAACTATGATTTATTTTTGCCAGCAACCTAATTAAAGTCAAATTCTAAAATTCTTCTTTGTAGATGTTTGAGGAGATTATTGAATGTTATTGATATCATGAACCGACATCACTTAAAAATCTGGAAGCACTGCACATCAGAAATATTCAGTAATCTCCACGAACCTCTGTGCTGATAATTATCAGGCTGTCACTAGTAAATAACTTTGAAAAGTAATTCTGGAATTCTCGCTGGAAATCGTGACCAGTAAGGTTCAGATGTGTTAGTTATAAGGCAATTACCCATCAAAGACAAAGGGTGACAGCACATAGTAAAATTAAATGGAGATGAACAAATACATTATCAAATTACCACTCAGTTGTCTGTAGGTTAGATGTTTGAACATGAAACTGAAGGTTATGGGCTCGCTCTTCTCTGAGATCGTGGATGGTCACTTCTGTGGAGTACCATACTAGAATAAAAGTCTGCTTCTTGCTTTTATTGAATGTATAACGGTCTAATTCGGGATTTGAATAAAAGGAACCTTCTTTGGATATCTAACTGTTATTCAAAAGGATTTTAGTTTAATGCATATTTAAGGTTCGTAATTACAGTGGGAATTAAATATTTTATTAATCTAAAGGTAGGACTTCTAAACCTGCTTCATTTATGCAGTTAGGTTTCATTACAAACTTACTTAAAATTAGAAGACATTTCTGGATAATTTGACATTACTAATGATAAAAAAATGATGCTCAAATATACGAATCTAATGTTTAAGAAAGAGAAACCCTTGTTTTCTTTTATATGTAGACTCGAAATATGATTTCAAGAACAATATTGGAATGTGAAGTATATTGTGCTAGTTTAATTCCATGTCAAGGTAAACTAGATCAATATTTACCTCAATCTATATTCAGTATTGATGCATATGGTTCATTAACTATTTCTCAATGGAAAATTATAACAAATAATAAAGACAGAGTTTTCAATGAACCTACAATATGTGATGAAACATTAGAGATTGGCACAAACATTTTTAAAGAGGTGGGTTTCGTTACATAAATATGTTTATAAATATATATTTATGACAAGTAACAACTATTTTAGTTATGGACAACTTCTACAACATTTTTGTTTCATCCATACATCAAGTGAGATGCTCATAAAATCAACTCTTGTTGAATAGTGCGTAGTGTAAGTGGTCGCAATGATGCCTATGACCACTCAATAAAAGAAACAAAGTGCTATTGTATACTGTAATGATTTGCCCTAAATTTTTCCATTCATAAAGTTCCACAAAATGCTCCATAAGGGACGTCTCACATAACTTGTAAACCGCAAACCATTAGTTACAATCTCTGGATAGGCGAGACGATAACTTATGGACTAATCAACAAGAATTAATGAGTTTGTTTTTTTATATACAACTAGATTTAAGATACCAAATTTTAAATTTTGGCTCAAGATTCATTCATATATTTGGCTTTTTCAAGTATACTTGGTTCCCCTCACATAAAAATAGACCAGGACTCTCTCCCTCCCTGTTATATATATATATATAAATATATATATATGGAATTAAAAGTGGTAGTTTCTCCGGGATATTTACTACTTTGTGTATAATGAAAAGATTGAATGTTAAATTGGTATTTATCATAACTCTAACTTAAACAATATAACATTTGTCATGTTAAGCAATACTTTCTAAATTAACAAACTATACTTACAAAATGATAATAATGATTTAATTGGAATTTAAAAATGGAAGTTTGACAAATAAATAAACAAGAATTAAGTAGAGTTTGATACTTAAATTAAATAGCGGTAAAATTGTAGAAATCTGATTTCTTTCTATGATAATCAGTCTCTCTGACAATAACTTTCGATAATTAATTAATTTTAAACAAACCGTATGTACATATGTACTAATATTTCCTACAATCGTAGACTTTCTGTAAATATTCATAGTTCCTAAATGTTGTAATGAGTCAATCGTTGTTTGAATACCCATTTGATTTAACAAGCAACGTTAAACAACAAATGGAGGACATTTAAGGTCAATTGATTCAAAAATCTCAGAGATTCTTTTGTGTTTATTATCAGCTACTCATAATCTGTGCCAGCGCCCATCCACCTCCGACTACTCTACTCATGATATGAGTGAGGTTCGTATGTTTAGACTTCCAACTAGAACTTCAGGTGCTTGTCTCTGAGTAAATCACTGGAGATCATAAAATCATGGTTTGGATGGAAGAGTTTTGTTGAGATTTGTCTGGTCTTTAAAAGACCAGTGGGTGCTTACTGCTGAGAGGTCCTATAGTACCAAGATATCGATGCATAATCCTCCATAGTTTTTATTATTATCCCTAGTTAGCCCTTGGCAAATTCTACTAGTAAATTATGGGACTCCTCACAACAGTTCTGCACGCAATATTCTCTGTATATTCAAAATTTTTCAAAGTCATATTACTGACATACATCAAACTAGTGAATAATTTTAAAGTAATTGAATAATACAAAATATTTCCTTTGTTCTGTTGTTCACTTTTACCAAAACAATAAAATAAAAACCTACTCAGATATCACGTAAAGGAAAACTTGGAGATTTTAAATATTGTACATACATTCATGACAACTTACATTCACAACCCAATGGTAAATTGATATTACACAAAACAACCTTGAATAATAATAATAACCCATCAATGTATTCATTAAATGATATAAATCCATGCGAATTCAGTTTTATTACTGCAGCTTATGAATGTACAAGAAGAAGAATTCTGCGTTTAACCAATTGGATTTGTAAAAGCAAAGGTTTACGTAATACTGTATCATACAATAAAATTTTATCAAATGATCCTAACTCTAAGTTAATTGATATGGCAGTTGTTGAAAGTGGATGTTCTGGTAGTTTATGTATGTGTTTTACAAATGAAATATTTTGGCTTAGTTTACATGTAAGTATTGAAATTGTTTTGTTTATTATTATTATTATTATTATTATTATTGTTATTATTATTATGATCTATTTCATACAATGTCTATGGATCAAAACTGTTTTTAAGTGATGCTGTTAGGTTTGTTTTCTGACGGTTTATCATATCTTGCAAAGCAGCATAAATATAATTAATCAGTTTTAAATGATATTAAACTACAGATAAATATTTATCTTTCGATGTTTCCTTAACGTCATTCGGTTCCTTTAACAATTAATGCTAGTTCGTAGCAAAAATATTTTATTTAATCTAGTCCACACTGACTTCTTCATTATGCAAAGTTTCATGAATAACTTCAACAAATATTCGTGAGATAATGAAATCATAGTGCTTCTGATTAAATTGTTTCATGAAATAAAGGCAAACAGTATAATCTATAAAATACTTAATAAATTTTGTTTTTATTTTCCAAGAGTTTCAAGACTTCATTACTTCTTGCATATTTACGTTGATATTTAATTTGATACCATTAACTGAGATAAACAATAAAAAAACAACTTGTATTACCGATTTCCCTCTTATCGAAATCATGTATTGTCGTGCTGACATTCCAAACCTAATGTAATAATAAATTCACTTGGTATTGTTTAATTGAATATTCCCATTGATCTTTAGCACTGCAATTGAACAGTTTCTTATTGGCTTATGTGCATATTGTGGGTATTGCCTATATATTGCCTTAATTCACGAGCATTCTAAGCAAAGATGAATATTGGTTAGCAGTGGAATCCAGGGCGCGCGTTTCGTCCTATTTGGGACTTGTCAGCTAAATGTACCTAAAACTCAGAGTTGATTTTCCATCTATGGCTCAAACCTGGTACCGGAGTGAACCTCAACTATGAGATACAGGTACATCCATCTGAAGAGTCCCAAACAGGACGAAACGCGCGTCCTGGATTCCACTGCTAGCCACTATTCACCTTTGCTTAGAATGTAGTATTGGTTTACTTCGGTCGTGCACAGACCAAATCGCAACACTACATATCGCCGTGGAACAATCAGTTGAGTGGGATTCGCCACTATACATCAACTTCATCGCCTATGAGAAGGCATTTGACAGTATGGATGGATGAACATCATGGAAACTTCTTCGGCATTATAGAGTTCCTCAGAAGATCGTCAACATTCTTCATAACTCATACGACAGACTACAGTGCAAAGTCATGCATGGAGGACAGCCAACAGGTTCATTTTCAGTAGGGACCGGAGTCAGACAATGCTGTCTACTCTCCCTCTACCTCTTTCTTCTAATGATTGACTGGATTATGAAGACCTCGACATCTGACAGGAAGCACGGAATACAGTGGACATCTTAGAATCAGTTAGACGATTTTGACCACTCAGATGATCTAGCCATCCTACCTCATACACACAAGCACATACAGACAAAGACAACTAGTATATCAGCAGCCTCTGCATCAGTGGACCTCAAAATACACAAAAGAAAAAAGCAAGATCTTCAAATAGAACACGGAGAATGCCAAGCAAATTACATTTGACGGTGAAATTCAGGAAGATGTGGAAACATTCACGTACCGGGGAAGCATCATTAATGAACAAGGAGGACCTGATGCAGATGTTATGGTGAATATTGGCAAAGCAAGGACCGCATTTCTACAATTGAATAACATATGAAACTCAAAACAACTATATGCATGCCAATATCAAAGTGAAAATCTTCAATACGAACGTCAAGACAGTTCTACTGTTCGGGGCTGAAACGTGGAGGACTACTACAACCATCGTGAAGAAGGTACAAGTATTTATAAACAGTTGTTAACGAAAAATAATCAACATTCACTGACCGGATACCATCAGCAACAGCTTTCTGTGGGAGAGATCAAACCAGCTTCCAGCTCAAGAGGAAGTTAGGAAGAGATGTTGGAAATGGATAGGATATACATTGAGGAAGTCACCAAACTGCAACACAAGGCAAGTCACAACTTGGAATCCTGAAGGAGGGCGGAAAAGTGGAAGGTCAAAGAACATATTACTCTGGGAATTAGAAACAGATATGAAAAGGATGAACAACAACTGGAAAGCAGTGGAAAGGATTACCTAGGACAGGTTTGGATGGAGAATGCTGGTGGGTAGCCTATGCTCTTGCACGAGGGGTGACAGGTGTTAGTCAGTAAGTTCATTTACAAAACTTTGAGTTGCTCTTACAAATTTCTGTAAAAAGACAGAATTAGTCTTTTTATTTTCACGTGAATAAATATTGGATTTTATGTCTTCTAAAAAAATTTACCTAAATGTATAGAAATGTATTTGTGATACATACAATTGTAGTTCTACTTAGATTTCATCATTAATTTTAACTTATTTTATGAACATATAATCATGAAATAGTACAAAGAAGTAGGGATTCAATGTTAAAAGGTGGTAACACACTCAAATTCCATTCCATTCACTTTAATTAAATCAACTAGGCACAGTGTAACCACATTTCTGATATCGAAAAGTTTAGTTGAAAGTTTATCAAGTGAATATGATTACTAAATAAGAAAGCAACTATTTTTCTGCCTTAATTTGATGTTAAAATTAGTACTGTAATAGTAGGACGTTTATTATATATCAGAATATGTTAACAGCTATTTAGACATACATATTATCATTCATAATTATTACTTTTTTGTTTTGTTCTTTTCTATTTCATAATTCGCACCATTTCAAATCAAATAATTTAAAGACATTTGATATCCTATCCAAATTTAAATTACCTACATTTATGCAACCAATTAATTGTTTAACAAAATCATGTCCACAACCAGCTGATTTAAATCAATCTCAGCATAGACGTACATGGATATCTGTAAATAGAAATCGTCTGTTAGAAATTTCTCCATTTGAAAGTCAACGTCGACTAGATATAAACGGCAGAAGTTGTTTGTTAGTTTGCCCTGTACTATCAACTGATTCACAGATTACAACTGTTTCATCGAGTTTAGGTATTACACCCATTGTAAGTAAAACAACTCTATTTCTTAATATATATATATATATATATATATATATATATATATATAATTTTATTTTGCAATATATTAAGTGAAAATGTTTATATTACAGAGGTCTAAGATGTACAACAAATATTAAGAAAACGCTGGTGTTTTACGATATGTGTATAAACATAGTGGCATTAACATACTACTAGAATTGAATAACTGTTTTGAATAATTGTCTTTGGTTATATTTCTTTCTTATTTTTTCCACTAAAATATTGAATATTACATACCATGTTGTCTTATCAACCTACAATGTATGTTCATTTTCCCCCAAAGCATGATACCGTGTACATATTATTTTTTATTATTGAAATAACTGATGTACGATCAACATACAAATTAGTTATCTAGGCAGATAATCTACATATTCATCATTGAAACGAACTAAACAGCAAGTAGTAACTTTAATGTGCATGTGAGAAATCAACAAAAATAACTTCGTTTCTTTACCTTGAAAGTAAAATTTAAATATGTTCATCATCCATCTCTTCTAGTATTTTATAATTACATTGATTAGGAACATTTGACCGTGGAACTAAATATTTTGAATGATGGTTGAACTTTGATTTTACTCTCATCCAAAATCGATAGACCATCTCAATCTCACTTTTTTAATAAATACAATGATATATCATTACTTATTTGATCATTTAAACGTCACCAGAATGAGACTGAATCATTTACATGAACATGGCTGATAATTCTTTGCTGATTTTAACCTGTTTAACTGAGTTTGAAATGTGAGACTAGACCTTAGTAAGTGGTATTTATAATGAAATGTAGTTAGTTACAATTCTGATCGTTTCACCACAATTTAGAAGAAAACCATGTTGTTGAAAAAAGTCAAGATCCATTTAGCAGTTGTACATCTTAACTAGCTCATTATATGTAACCACTCAAATTCTTATTGACCTTGATCTTCTTTAAGTCTACTGATCAAATCTATAGATTTTGTAATGTTGTTAGTGTATAAAAATTCATAATGTTTGGAACAGTTATCAACAAAGATATGTTTATTATTTCTGCTATTGAGTGAAAAAATAATCACTTATATACAAGTTACAAATTTTTACAAACAACCGGAAGAATAGGTGACCATAAATATGAAATTAGACAGATGATAGTGTTAAATAGTTGACTTATGAGTTTAATTACTTATAAATATTCAACAACACAGATGCATACACAAAGGCAAATCCATGCCTGAAGGAATTTTCTCGCATACATAAATCTAGCATAACTGCATTTATGGTAACTGTTTTAGGCACTTGAGAAATTCAGTGGTTAACGCCAAAGGCTGAAACGTTTGTCTACAGTGGTTTTTCGCTATTTTGCATACAGAATGTTGAAGGACGATGTTTTTTCTGAGTCATTACTAAAGATTTTAATTGTCTGTCAAGAATTACTGCTTTAGTATGATAGATAATCCCGATAATTTTGAGAAAAGTGAAATTCCATGACATTATACTCAGTGACAGGCAATACTTTCTTGTGAAGTTTGCTCTTTAAATGAGAGGAGAAATTGTTTGTTAATAATCGTAACACACGTTTATTCAATTATCTTTATTGTAAGACAATGGTGGTAATTTATTCATCAAAACTTTAACCTTAATATAGTTGTAATATCACATGTTTAATTTTTAATCCGTTTTTTCCTCGAAAATCAGTTGATAGACGCGATAAATTTTAATTATTGTGATGAAATCCCATCGGTACATGGAGTTCCATGACTGATTGTGAAAACTCCACCCATCTATGCCATGATAGCTAATCATTTATTATCATAATTCAGCCTTTCTCAAATCAAGCAAATTAAAATCAATAATCCATATGTTTAGAAATATATATCCTCAACGACTTAATCACACTTTCATGTACTAGTGAATACAGACCTAATTTATGTTATGTTAAGCTTTTGTTGTCAATAAGAGTACATCAACTGGCGTTTTAATAACACTACATATACACCCCTGTGATTGAAAAACCCATGTCCACTAAGCACAAATATCAGTGTTATATGTAAGTAAACCATGTTCTAGAACGCTGATCATACTCTTTTATTTTCACCAACAAACGTTTATTTCCCCGACATTTTAGTTAGTATACGTTTTCCAAAACTTTTGAACAAATAATTTACCCAATCATATTCTTGATTAATAGATCCCAATAATTATACCACAAATAATAACCGGGACTGAAAACATATTTTATTCTAAAACATTATTATCTTCCAACACAAATCAATTGTACATTTTAGAATCAAGTACGTATACAGAAAAATTTACGCAAATTAAATTATAAACTTCCAAATTTAAGATTGCTACTTTTAGTGAAAATCACTATTACGAACCACTGTTATAACAATAATTGTATGACACATAGTTTAATGTCACAATACATTTGACATTGTTTATTAATTTAGATTGCAACAGCTTTAGAGAATGGTGAAATTCATATAACACTTGTTCCTGAATCTTGTTTTAGTTGTATGGTAAGTCTCAATTATTTGAAAAATCTGTCTATTGTTGATTCATTTACTCGGAACATTTGATGCTTTTCGAATATATACACATCAAAGTGAATATGTGGTGTTTAAATTTCCAACTAAAATGTAAAAGTGTATTGGTCACTTGACAAACAATAATTGTTTCATGGTGATACTGTATACTTGTTCAGTTGTTTCATTCAAACATTATTGACTACGCTGTTTTAGGACGGAATAAGTTTCAAACGAAGATCATCAGATATGGATTGAACAGATAAAAAACTGCATTATATTTACCAGATGGATAAGATTAATTTATATCAGTCAGCTTAAGCTTATAGAGCACAGTGATGACATGAAATGTATATCCAGAATCTGTTTGCTCCTCCTATTTTTCAGCTTATTCTAAGTGTACAGTTACTTAGATAAATGTATATTGAAAAGTTATAGATTACACGAAATCCTGCTCCGTGTTAAAGATGCTACCAAGTAATTAGTTTTTAATGATAAAAAACAAATATTTCATTTATAAAAGAACTAGTTTATTGACCGGAACACCAAATACGTTTAGTATCTCCATGGTAAGGAAACATAAATATTCTTCCACCTGTTTCTCGTCAGTAAACAATGTAGTTTATTCGCTGATGAAAAAAACGATAGCTTTATTTAATAAATTTGCACAGCGATTAGGCACAAGCCTGTGATTACTTATTTTCGCCTATTACTTAAGTTAATTGTCTTTTACGATTGTTAATGATTCACTAGTTGATATCATTTTGAATAAGGACTTGTTGTATAAGTGTCCTAAACTATTGCACAATATCTTGCAGTGAACCTAATCACAGCATTATTATTATAATGTGTGTACATAAAGCTTATACCACGAAATACGTTAATTAGTTTACATTTGCCAGTATGTCATAAGAAAGTAGAAGCTCTGATAACAGAAATTGCTCGCTTCACCACATACGCTAATATTTTGGATAATGCCGATTCAAATCCCAAGGAGAGCATCGATTCTCTCAAAATCAAAAGCACACTTTTCAGACGAGTGTCGGCTAGCACGAAATCTATAATAAGTGTTTCCTGAGGCCTAACTTCAACCACTTACCAACCCTCACATGTGTGAGATAAAATGTACTGAATCTAGATCACCAATATACCATAAAAGATATGAAGCAAATCGAGACAAGCAACCAGTTTACTCCTGATGTTAGTCTTCTCTTTATAACTCCAAAGTCTACCCTCCTATACATAATAATAGTAGTAATATGTAAGCTTATTTAATACGGAAAAATATTGGTCATGAAAGTTAGTTAGATCGTAATGCACTAAAACATTCACAAAACTAGCTAAGATTTCAGTAGTTATAGTTGAAAAAGAGATATTAGAAAATTAGCATATGTGTTAGCTACTAAAAAGGATGAGCTGTATACCACCACTTAAACAATATCACTCTTCTCTTAATTATTCTGCCAATATAACCAGCTATTTAATGTATATATTTTTTAAGTACTTATACTAATCAGTAGTATAATTCGAGATTTACTAAAACACTACAAGTCTGTGTGTGACCTTACGTTTATATTATGGAAAAACAAGCCATATTTAACGACTAATTATCAAATTATTTACAGAAATTCGGTGTAAAATTTAGAATAAACTGACAAGTAAACACTGTATATCAAAAAATTTATCTAAGCGTACTTCATATTCATTAATGTTAGACACAATCTGTCACATTTCAAAAATAACGTGATACCTTTCATTCTTTTACGTCAACCGGATAGTGAGTTTACAATAAAGTTAGAATGTTTCTTAATTGTAATCAAAACATGATATTAGTTGAAAGTGTTGCTTTTCTTCAAAGACCTACATCATATACAAATATGATACATAGATCATAAATTTTTTTTAATTCAAAATTTCTTATTTCATTAGGTTGAATTTTGTTCTCTTGGTTTCACTAATAAAAATGAATTGGTGAATCATGTTGTGCAAGATCATTATCTAGGCGAATCAACAGATGGATTTCGATGTAATTGGGCTTCATGTGATTTATATCTACCGTTAAATTGTTCACAATTTAATAAAGAGGTATGATTTTGTATGTGTATTTAATATAAAGTAATGAGTTTATTTTTTTAATGTTAACACAAATAGACAGATGCCTTAATTTTGAAAATGTATTAACTTCTAAAGTGTAAATATTCATGTCATAGTTAGCTTCATATTATAGAAAAATATCAACATTTCAAAGGGATTTACATCACAACTTATTATCAGCCTATTAGATATTTAGGAAGTCTGGCTGAGTATGCCAATTTAAGTTGGTGGTATTTACATCTTTTAACGAAACATAAAAAGTATAATTTCAGTAGTAAAATTTAAGTCTAATACTAATTATGAATTATCTTTGAAACTGACATTTTCAAAATATAAGTCTACAATACTCAAATAAATGTAAATAACCATCCTCACTAATTCTTATCATCCTGTTTAAATATTTGTGTTATGATTATCTAAGCTTAATGAATATTTTATTCAGAGAAAATAAGGTAGTCGGAGTTAGAAAACAGAGGGCTTTCAACATTGTTTGCGTTGAATCTTACCTCTAATCAGAAAAGATTTTGATCTCAGAAACTGACCAATTTACATTAAAAAATTTGTTATCACGTCTTAGTTTAAAAAAAGTAGTTACATTTTGATAGCTATTCAGATAGTGTACAATTACAGTTATAATACATAGAAAATCTTATTTGGTTCACAAATCGATCAATGCTAGACCATTATTGAAAACCTGAAAGCAGTAAATAGTGGTCTAACCTTGATCCACCCATGATTTCAGTAAAACTCAACAATCGCCGCAACCATTTAATGATAACATACAAAATCATCAGATTAATAATGAGTAATCAATAAGTCAAGGTGTTCTCATGTGACATTAGATTTATAAGATGGGGTTATAGCAATTTGGTTGCACACAATGTAGAAAGGTACCTGCTCATGAAGGGCCTGAAAATGAACTGAATTAGTAATGGTCTTGACGACATTGGCGCGTGATTTTAGAAAGGAAAGGATGGCTTTTTAAGGTCTGTCACCTATGGCATTTTAGTGATTAGTTTTATGCGTGTTAGCTCCGTACTTACCGCTTGAGACGTAAATCCATAGAACAGATTGAAGTGTTTTATTTTTAGAGCTGATCTCTTCTAACTTTCCATCCGTTGTGAAAAGACATCATCCTCTGAAAGCAGCAGCTTACTGCCATCACAGACCTATAATACCAAATAGAATTACTTTGTCCCTAAACCTAAATTTCCTGTTTGAATTCTTACCGTATTAAAACCGACGTACTTTGTATAGTAGATCTGCAAGAAACAAGCAATCGAAATAAGTAAGCCTGATCACCTTTCCAACAGAATAGCTACTTTGAAGCTATTTAGTGCACAATAATATCAATCATTAAATCTCTTAAGACAAATTCTATTTTTTCAAGTACATCATAAATAAACTAATCAACATAAATTAAAGTCACTTATTATTGTTTGTTTGAATCTTCCCATTGATGTTTAGGACTGCAACTGGTCAGTCTCTAATTGGCATATGTGCATACTGTGCGTATTGCCTCGATATAGCCCTAATTCACAAGCATTGTAAGCGAAGATGGATAGTGGCTAGCAGTGGAATCCAGAACGCGTGTTTCGTCCTATTTGGGACTCGTCACCTGGATGTACCTGCATCTCAGAGTTGATGTTCACTCTAGGAACTCGAACCTAGTACCTTTCGCACATATGCCAATTAGAGACTGACTAATTGCAATCCTAAAACATCAATGGGAATATTCCAACAAACAATACTAAGTGAATTTAAACCTCACCCCATCGCACAAGCAAGTGGCTATCAGGACTCAGTGGTCGAGTGGATAACGCGATGGCGTTTGAAGCGAAAAATACTGGGTTCTTGTCTCAGAGTGAACATCAACTCTGAGATGCAGTTACATCCAGGTGACGAGTCCCAAATAGGACGAAACGCGTGTCCTGGATACCACTGCTAACCACTATCCATATTTGCTTACAACATAAATTACATTTTTTCGCTATTGTTAATTAGTTTTTTTCTGAATTTTACTCATCATTAAATAATTTCCTCTCTTTTATCTCATTTTATTGTTTTCTTTTTTTTGTCACAATTTTAGATATTAGAAAGTCATGCTCATCAACATGTATATTCATAAGGAAGATTTAGTTTGTTTTTTTCATTATTTGATTATCATTGAAAGTATCATTTATTGTTTAATATTACTATTATTATTATTATTATTATTAATTTATTATTCATGTCAAGTTTATTTACAGAAATACTCAACTTTTAAATTTAATTTCATTTAAAACTACCTAAGATTTATTACGCATTTTCATCATATATTTATGCATATATATAAGTATTTGTTTGAATGAATTGAAGGTATTCCAAACAAATTTCTATTTGCTGAATGACCAATATTTTTCTGTTTATTGTTTTATACTTCTATTTTAGTAGTAATTTTTCTTACATTGTCAATCAATCAATTAATGGACACATTATCATAGTATTTTAATAACTTTAATGAGAAATTATGTTATTTGCATAGATATTAATTAATCGTTTAAAAATCCCAATCATATTAAAAGTTTAATATTTGAACGAAGAATATTCTTTTCGATAAATTCTCTTCAGGTTCTACAATTTATACATCCAAATTAATAATCCGAAAAATTGGCCAAGTTAAAGGCAAAGTACATCGTTTAAAGCATGTAAATTTAGGATTGTCAAGCCAAATAGAACAAAATTGTTAATGTTGATATGACTCACATAGAATGTATATATCTGTATATATGTTAAATGAAAATTTAAGATCCAATGATCAGAATATAAATATGGGTCAGATAGGGTGAGAGAGATATGATAGTGCAAATACAATTCGATCAAGTGGAAGATTAAATTGTGTGAAAAAATTAGTAAGACGTAATAAGGAGTAAGCAATGTGAAGTGAATGAATCATGTATAGGGGGGATTAATAATGATATTTAACCAATAATAATAATAAAATACAATTATTTGTGAATAAATATAAGAGAGACAATTACATTTGACTACAAATGGTCGTAAGTACATAGTCAAATTAGTCATCCATTACTGTTAATTAATTGGCCTTGTGGTTGGCCAAAGGAGGAGCAGGGGTTGGAGATATTTCTTCTGTACGCATAGCAACAAGGACTTCTTCTTGACCGTTTGAATTTCGCTTAATTTCACATTCATGATCATATATTTAATTATAAACTTTCTGGGGTAACCGTTCTCCCTCAGAGCATTATACAATGTGTTTAGCTCATCTTCAACTACATCTGCCGGACATATAGTGCGTATTCGGTAGCTAAGGGTTTTGATCAGGTTTCGTTTGTATTGTAAAGGTACAAAGCTAAGGAAGTGTCTATATTAATTACTTATTAAATAAAGTAAGAAATTGATTTCATTACTTTGTTTATGTTCAAAGAACTTCTTAAGAAATACAGTCCCAATATAAGTATTTAAATAAGAATAAATTTATCACCAACCATTAAATTCCGCATTATATGTATCCGTTTGCTAGATGATACATTTTTTATGATTACTGGAAGATATGTTTAATTTTTTTGATGGAATCATTCTAGTCCGAGTAATACTTGGTTTACAAACAATCTGTGAGGGTTTCTAAGTATTGGTTTTATAATCTTGATCTTAGTAATTGTAGATGAGAGCTAATAACTGGCCAGACGAAGTTATACAACAATGTTTTTTGCTAATATCCTCTCGAAGACTTGAATCCAGCACTGATCGGTTCAAATATTTTAATTTAGAAACACTCGATTACCAAGATCACGAAGATTAATAATGAAAAGTGTATTATTTTTCTGTTTCATTTTGTAATTTCTCTATCACTTACGTAACTATGTTGTTTGACCTCTTTTTATCTTTGCCGACTGAATTCTTACATGATTGTTACAATATCATTGAAACATATCAACCATGACGAAATTATACTAACTAGCTTAGTAGTTTCATGCTTTATTTCAAACTTTCTGTTGATATGCAAAGATGGATACTGGCTAGCAGTGGAATCCAGGATGCCTGTTTCGTTCTATTTGGGACTCGTCAGATGGATTTACCTGCTTACCATGCTTGTGAATTTAGGCTATATCGAGGCAATACGCACAGTATGCAAATATGTCAATTAGAGACTGACCAGTTGCAGTCCTAACACATCAATGGGAAGATTCAAACAAACAATACTAAATGAATTTTTCTGTCGATATGTTTTAGCAATTATTATTACACTTCAATATTTCAGTTCGCTAGGAAAGTTACTATGTTTTAATATTCAAGATTAAATGAATGGATGATATAGAATGAGACAGAAATTTTTCTTAGACAATCTTTCTTATCTATAATCGTTAATATTTATTCAAATGACTCCAATGATTAGAAAACATTATGAACCATCAGTTTACACTTTTAATATCTTTATAAAACAAGGTTATATGCACATTTGATTAGAATAAATAAACTCTTATGATTTGATTGCTTTGACACAATAGATTAAGGATTAATAGTATACGGTATATTTTTGTCAAGAATTTAATGTATGCAATTTTATACGTTATCGATCTTCACACTGAAAAATTAATTAACTCTACTAGCAGTTTAACAACTTTCAACAATCAGATTAATCAACCATTTATGACGTCTTAATACAGTATACATTTAATTGTTTAAACTTATTCAAAATACTATTTTGTTTCGAAACTCACTTATTAACGATGTTGATCCTTTTTAATGACAGTTGCAAAATTTGAATATTGATAATAAACTTAATGATGAAAATAATTTTAACAAAAATGTAAAATCTCTCTTTTCATAGAATATTTTCAGTAGGATTAATGAATTAACTTATCGTTATGATACTTTCTTGAATAGTACATTCAAACCTGAAGTTTTTAGCTAAATCACAAGTAGTTATTTGAATACTCTAATGAACTAAAGAAAAAAGCATTACCATCTCATTCTTTTACTAAACAGAAATCAACTGTATACTTTGATAATTAATTTAAATTATTTGGTTTATTAAGTAAAGATTGAAAAGTTTAAAGTTCTTTAAACACCTTAAGTGAAACAGTGAGACTTTATGGTAAATCTTTCTACTTTGTCAGAAATAATTTCTAAATGGATTTTGTCAGTATTTAGCTCAGGAATAAGTAATATAGAGTGGTTATATTCCTCAACTTTGGGCTAGTTTCATATGCATATGTGCATTCAGATAATCACACTTCAGATACGGCTTGAAAAGAATCACGATTAACTGATGCTTATTGTATATTTGTCTTATGGTTTATTTTTTTTATTTCCCTCCACCCCATAGTTCAAAGACGCCGTGACTTCAAAAGAAGCATCATTAATTAAAATATTATGGATATCTGACAATTAAGGCTTATAATATCATTACCACCCACAAATGTTTAGTTAATCATTAAACTGACACTTTATTGAACAATAATGAGTAGATATGTTATGCCATCAATCCAGGTAAAACGCTTCCTAAACAATGTAGGTTTTTTCTAATAGTATCAGTTAAAAACAAGATGCTTGATAGAGAATTCACAAATTCAGAAAATTAAATAATAAATTTAGCACGAATTAACATGACTTATATATTGATTAACTCCCATCTATATGTGCATTAATAATAACTCAAACGATGAATAAATGGATTTCATACTTTCAGTTTACCTACTAGAAAAGTTAATTTAATAGAAAAAAAGGAATAGACTTTTAATCTTGACCATATCCATTTTAGATCTAACAGTAGTATTCCTTATTATTTTGAAAACGTCTTAATTAGCTGATTATAAGACAAATGAATTTAAACACTTCGACAGTATGTAATATGGTAGTTATTCTTCCAGGTCTTGTATGCAAACGCGTTTGTTGTAATGTGGCGACTTATGAAAAATGTTAGCTAGTAAATGTCATATTAGGTGATTGAATAAGTCTTATGTCTAGACTTTGTTCTAGTTGGACTAGTCAGGATGGCATGCTCAAATCTTTAGTGGACTATTGCCCCCCGTAATATTCAAATCACTCAGTTTTACCATAACCAAACTATTTTGACGGTAATAAATACTTTGTATCTCGGCATCCTAACACAAACACCATGTCTAAGACTTCCTCCTGATTATCTACAATACCTAGACATAGACTGCAAAATTCGGTTACTTAGACTAAGGAACACATTGCAACTGAATTGATAGACACTGGTTTGACTCAGTGACTAGTTAACGCAACAAAGCTTATGTTATGCTCAAGTTCTAGGTAATGAAAAGAATGGTGAACAGCAACAAATGACAAATAATGGAGATATTCTGTCCCCAAATTTACGTTATCTTAAATTAAATTACGATAAAGAAATATTTTTGAAATTGCGTAAGAAACACATTATCCATCCAGAACTATACTAAACAGCTGAATAGTTTTGAAAAATGTCCTGAACTACTAACCTGATAACACCATCTTAAAGAAACATTAGAGATTCAAATTTAATTTTGTTAACTAATTATTTACTACATTTTTTGGACAAAATGTACACATTATTACATTTAAAAATCCCTAGTCTCTACCATTGTACTTTACTCCTAGTGTTATAAATTCTTTTCAACTTTTTTTTCAGAATTTTATTCAAATATTACGTAACTAGAACAGTATATTGAATACTAATAAACAAGTGCATGCTGGCAAAATACTTTGAATAATAGTCTTCTTTTGAACTGTATTTATATGTGAAGCAATTTAACCAACTGTTTATGTTTATATTACATATATTTTCTCAAATAAAATACAGTTTTCTATTCAGTGAATATTCTCGTGCACAGGTTTCACTTCATCTGGAAAGTTTATATTTAAGATAAATTACAAATAGATTATAAGAGGTAAATGTTTCATAAGTGAAACAAATATTTAAATAAAACGTTCATAAGTTTATTTAAAAGCCCTGAATAATACAACAATAAGAGGACCAGAGACGAGCATAAAAATACTAACTAGAAGATTATTACTGTTCAGTCTTATACCAAGGAATAGTTTAAGCTTAACTTTTACTAACCTAGATAAGATCAAACCGACAGACTGTTTAGGTTAAAACCTCAGATTACGTTGTAAATCTCAGCATCTTATTTCATAAGCTGCATGAATTAATTAACTCTTCATTGTCGAACACTGTCCTTGTTAGAAGTGGTATAATACAAGGTAGTGTCTTAGGCCCTTTGCTCATTTTGGTGTTTATCAATGATATTTGTGAGTGTTTCTGTGTGAGCGAACCCCTTCTGTACGCAGATGATCTTAACGTAGTGTATTCATTTCCTCCACATGAGCTGCACAATATTCAAAATTGCATCAGCATGGAGCTTAAGAAGGTAGCACAGTGGTGCTCCAAATGGCAGCTGGAGATTAATATAGCTAAATGTGGATGGATATGCTTCGGTGATACATCATTCAACTTAAATCTTACCATAAATGGTGAAGTGTTATCTAGGTTACATACATTATTAAACTTAGGACTTAAGTTCTCCTACGACTTGTCGTTTACAGAACAGATATTGGGATAGATTTCCAAGTCTCAACGTCCTATAGGGTACATAATTCAAAACCTTCTTAACAATGAATCACGTATTTAAATATACAAAGTTTGGGTTCGACCACTCTTAGAATGCTGTGTGTTTATTCTTGATAGTTAGCGCATAAAGGATAAATTAGGGCTGGAATCAGTACAGAGACGATTTACACTTTGCATTGTTGGAACTGATTGTACCTTGACTTATAATTCTAGATGCAATAAACTTGGGCTTGACCCTTTATGGAAGAGGAGACTCAAACTAAATCTTGTCTTATTCTTCTTCAAAATACTGAACAAACTATCCTTTACATCCAAACAAGCAATTCAATAAATAGAAACTTCTCATTACGACATACGTAATTGATTGTCAATAGCGAAACAAATCCATTCTAGATCATCTCTCTATATGAATTACTTTATCTATAAGTTTTCTAGACTCCGGAATAATCTCCCATAATCTATCCATACGATAAAATCTCTCCCATTATTTGTTCTCTGCACTGTTTCATACTGCTCCTCCGAAAATGCATTAAATGTTCTAGCACCTGTAAGTGTATCTTACTCTTTAAATGTTTAGCCCCCACAGACCTCCCAATCGATGTTGACCCACCAACAATTGAAGAAATCAGCATGGCCATCAGACGAAGAGCGGCAAGGCAGGGGGACCAGCAGAGTCACTGAAAGCAGATGTATCAGCAACTTCAAAGATACTCCACTTTCTCTTCAGTAAGATTTGGGATGAAGAACGAGTACCAACAGATTGGAAAGAAGGACTTCTGATCTAAATCCCAAAGAAAGGCAATCTCAGCAGGTCTGATAACTACAGGGGCATCACTCTCCTTTCAATACCAGGAAAAGTCTTCAACAGAGTGTTGTTAGACAGAATGAGGAACTCCGTAGACGCCCAACTCCGAGGTCAACAGGCTGGATTACGTAAGGATCGATCGTGTACAGACCAAATCGCAACTCTACGGATCATTGTGAAACAATCAGTTGGATGGAATTCATCACTATACATCAACTTCATTGACTACGAGAAAGCATTTGATATCGGGGACAGGATAAGACTATGGAGGCTTCTTCGACACTATGACGTGCCTGAGAAGATAGTCAATATCATAAGGAATTTCTATTATGGATTAAACTTTCAAATCATTCATGGAGGATAACTCACAGACTCATTGGAGGTAAAAACTGGTATTAGGCAAGGGTGCTTACTGTTACCCTTTCTCATTCTCCTGGTGATCGACTGGATCATGAAGACGTCAACATCTGGAGGGAAACACGGGATATAGTGTACAGCTAGGATGCAACTGGGCAATTTATACTTCGCAGATGATCCGGCTCTTCTATCACACACGCAACAACAAATGCAGGAAAAGACGCCCAGTGTAGCAGCAGCCTCAGCAACAGTAGGTCTCAATATAAACAAAGGGAAAAGCAACATTCTCCGATACAATACAGCATGCACCAATCGAATTACACTTAACGGAGAGGCTTTGCAGTATGTAAAGACCTTTACATATCTGGGCAGCATAATCAATGAACACAGTGGATCTGATGCAGATGTGAGGGCGAGGATCGGCAAAGCAAGAGCAGCATATTTACAACTGAAGAACATCTGGAACTCAAAACAATTGTCAACCAATACCAAGATCAGAATTTTCAATACAAATGTCAGCACAGTTCTACTGTATAGGGCGGAAACCTGAAGAACTACGAAAGCCATCATCCAGAAGTTACAGGTGTTTATTAACAGTTATCTACGCAAGTTACTTCGGATCCGTTGGCCAGACACTGTCAGCAACAACCTACTATGGGAGAGAACAAACCAGATTTCAGTGGAGGAAGAAATCAAGAAGAAGCGCTGGAAGTGGATAGGAAATTGAGGAAACATTGAGAAAATCACTCAACTGCGTCACAAGGCAAGGCCTCACATGGAATCATAAAGGCCAAAGGAGAAGAGGAAGACGAGAGAACACATTACGCCGAGAAATGGAGACAGACATGAGAAGAATGAACAAAAATTGAATAGAACTAGAAAGGAAGGCCCAGGACAGAGTCGGTTGGAGAATGCTGGTCGGCGGCCTATGCTCCATTGGGAGTAACCGGCGTAAGTAAGTAAATGTTTAGCCATTCTTCTTAGTGAATTCCCTAAGTAAAACCACTTACCTGCTGTCACATTACGTTAACACTGTCCCTAGCAACCTTAATGTATTTGAACAATATCTAACTTGAACAGTGGTAAACCTGACCAACATATTTCGGTAATCAATGTTTTGTTGTTCCGTGCTCTCTGTTTTCATTTTACTTTCTCTACTTGTGGATAGATATCAATAATTTGTTCTGTCACAAGAAATAACCCTAAATAACACCCTCCATAAATCAACAGGCTATACACTTAGGAAAAAATTTAAAGTTCCCTGCTGATGCATTGGATTTCTGTAATACATATCATAGATGCACTACCTAAACAATCACTAAACTAACAAACTTAGAACAATCTTATATCACATGTTTGTTCTCTATATCTAATGTTACTATTTATATAAAAATGGATCATGCCTGTAAACTGGCGTGAATTCTGTAATTATTATTTTCAGAATATATATATATTATTATATTAGGTTTACTAGATACTGTTGGTATGACATTTGCTCAGCTCATAAAAAACGACAGTGTTTTATTTATGTTTCTGCTACAATGATGAACTGCGTTCTTTTACCATTATCCAATCGTTAAACAACTTTTTCAAGCACATTGATAGATAGTGAAACGTTTCACAAAACAATAAAATAATTAATGAACAAGTATCAGAGGAATTTGTCCATTAGTTTTGAAAATAATCCGTTTTATTTAATATTAGGATACAAAATAAAGTAGTTTTGCCGTGCAACCAATGCTCCACCAGGTGGAGTCGAACATTCAAGATGATTAGACAATTATCGATTTGTAGGAAACGATTCATCAGCCCCATTGGAAACCATACATTATCATATCGAATTCCGGTGAAAGGTGGAGAATAGCTTAGATTGTCTTACAGCTATTTAGGTTGTGAGGTTTTTTAACAGGGTCCATAATTAACGATTTAACACACACCTGCAAATTGGATAGATTAATGAACTACATAATAGTTTAGTAGGATGTTTCTCTGAACCTACAAATAAAAGCTGTTGAATAAAGAATCAAAAAACTGGTTTGTAAGTCCGACAAAAATACGTTAAACGCATCAGAAAGTCACAGTAAAGATTTACTTAAATTACTTAGTTTTGAATATGTTACTGTTACAGCTAATTGTAAGTGATTGACGTTTGCCTCCATTTTTATTCTCTCAAACAGATGTTAAGTTATTAAATTCGAAATTAATTGAGTAGTGAAGAAAAGTAGCTTGAATTTTATGAGCTCCTTATTCACCGGTGATCAGTTAGTCAGCCACAACATAGGACCAGGCATATATATGTATCGGATCAAGTTCCCACACCTCATTATCACAACAAGATGACCATCGAATTCATAGAACTAAGTACTTCAACAGTAATAATATATAAAACAAAGATTGCATATAAGGATGTAACACATGGAGAAAGAATTAGTTCGTAGAAAGAAAGATATGAAGTGATTGTAAACCCACGGTTTAAGGGAAGACAGAGTGCATACACCTACGCCATTGTGATCGATTTTCAGCCATGTCACACAGAGTCACCGACCAATGGTTATGATAGTCACGTGGACCCCAAGCAAGTAGTCTACATCTATCAACATGGCTCACACTACGAAATAGTGATGTCAAGCACTGATGCCGCGTTTTGGTTTGGTCGCCCTTAACTCTCTTCCAACCATCCCCAATACCAGTCAGCATTGCGCGTCATGGTACTCGGTGTTCAGGCATATGTACCACGCGCCCCAACTATCTCATGATGAAGATTCACAACCTCATCAACTGATTTACTATCATTCCCTAATACCCTGCGTCTTACCTCACTATTACTTACCCGGTGATCCCAGCAGATGCGAGCAATATTTCTAAGACGCCTGTCATCAAATACTAGTAACTCACGAGTATCCTATACTGTTAATGGCCACGATTCTCTACAACTGAACTACCAGACGAACTACTACTACTAGACGATGCCTCTCTTTATGCTTAAAATCAGTGCTTGTTAAAAATAAACGATTGTCTGAGCACAGTTGCAGCAGACGACCATCATTATCTGTTCACTGAGCCGGAATACTAAAATACCCATCTAAATGTCTTTCTGTTTGGTTTAAGCTGCCTACTTGAGCATTAAGGTCACCTGTTACAAGTACTATGTTTGGGTGTTTAGCTTTTTGAAGAAGTTCAGAAAGCTTTCTGTAAGATTCATCTTTCACTTCATCCGGACTGCAGTCAGTGGGAGCGTAAATAGAAACGACGAAAAGGCAATGTCATGTATCCTTAACCTTTAGAGTTCTTACAGAGCAGTTTAGACGAATAGCACATACGTGATTGCTAACAGGGATCTATCCTAATAGTGCTTGTTCTGCCCTCGTACTTATTGCTATGCCTACACTCGCCAGTCCACGATAACTAGCCGTCGGGTCACCAGATACACGGAGGGTGTATCTTGTGGGCTCTCTTTTTTGGCGAGATGAGGTCAAATGGATGACCACACTAGGATCTTGTATGCGTGTTTCGGAGACACAGCGTACACCAATCGTACCAGACTAGGGGATCTTAGCCAAGAACGTCTGCTGTCCGATTTGATATAGGGTGCGTACGTCGAAGGCTCCAATGTGTAGTTTGGAGAGGGGCTTCAGTGGGCTTGGGATAGTATATCCCACACTATAATAGTTGGTCATCGTGGCACTTGAAGAGGAAGTATGATGTTGATGGTCGAGGTGGGAGGAATAATAGGAATTGAAGAAGGAAACTGATTATGAATACAGTGGTCTTGAGTGGTCAGAGGTTTGAAGGCGGTTTTCACTTCCCGGTTGCCCATACCGTGGAAGGGTTCTTCTAATGGTACCTGAAAATAAAACTGGGTTAGAGTTGGTCTAAGTGTCCTGTGAACGTGACCGTAGTGCCCAATGGACAACTGCTTGAGACCGGTGACACACGAACCTTTTGTTGGCAATTTCCATGTTATCTCAGTACTTGTTGAGACTTTTTTCCGGATACGGATATCCGTGGGGCGCGCATGTTTTAGGGTCAATCCTCTCTAACCACACATCCCATTTGTGGGAAGGCAGTATAGCTGTTATTCTGGTTTTTTGAAGGAAACACTTTACTGCCGTCACACCTCAGTACAGTCAGCAGTAAGACTTCGCCCTCAGACCATGGGTTTTCTGCTTTTAGTCTAATCGCTATTCCACCGACCTGTCTGGCATGGTAGGTCCCTGAGGAACGACTGTTTCGGCTAGTTTAATCCGGTTGGGTCATCACAATAAGTAGGCCCAACCCACATGTCAAGGTAGCATTAATGGTATGGTTTACTAGTGATTCATTTATAATGTCAGTGATTACGGTATATAATGCATTTTATTTGTAAATTCATTACTTTATCATATGTTCTAGGATCAAAATCTGCCTTCTTTGTGGGTAATGTTAAAACTTTATATATATATATATATATATATATATATATATATATATATTGGGGAAATGGAAACCTTTTGCCTACCAAAACTTTCTGCAAAGATAGTTTACATAATTAACTGAATTAGGTTAGTTAGCCATTAGAATCTGGAAGCACTGAGTAAATCTATTCTGGCATAGAAATTTGCGACAATGCATAAAAACAAATCCAGAAGTGAAGAGTCTAACAATTTTAGGCCTGTAGCAGCCAAATTACATTTGTAACGCTAAATAAAAATCCAATTATTTACATTTTCAACTCCAGTTGATTCAAAACGATCGTTTTTGCTGATGATGATGAATATATCACACTTGTAATGATTGTTTGGTTCTAGATGGTCACAGTATTTCACTACAGTTTAGGTAATGAGATTTGCAGTTAGTCATTAGTGAGTATACAGTTATTATGAACATGAAACTTTATAATGGTTGTTCAACTTGAAAATCACCGTTATATTCTCCTGGAGTCTAATGATTACCTAGCTTAAACTACTACATGATGGTGACTAACTCTAAGTTGAACAGTCTACACAACTGCTAAACTAATAAAAACATCTTTGTATAAAGCTCTGTTCGCAACTAAACAAGCTTTAGTAAATTAGTCACATGAAACATAACCAATCATGATTAATAGAATACATGTGGACATTAACACAAATAATTTACCTAAATACAATCCAGGATCATGATAAACATTGGTTCGTATATTTTCATTGTCGTCACTTTCTTCCAAGGTTAAACGACGTAACTGCATCTGTTAATAACCATATTTGTGATATAATTTTTGGCAGATTTAATTCATTTTACCTGAAGGTGTAATTTGCTCGTGAACAGAAGCTTTTTCCATCCGAATAGTTTTGCTAACTCTTCAAAAGGTCTACTTGGCTGACTTAGTGTTGTATTAACATAGATCTCACGCCATAATGAATCACTATTACATATCTTTGAATAAACAATAACTCAAACGGTAAAGATAAAACCATTACCTCATGAAAGTATTTTGATGTGGTCCCTAAATTAATCACATCTTCCAAATTTAGATAAAAAATTATCTTTACTAAAATTTCGTTCGGTATTCTGACCAAATAATCCAACTTCCCAGCACATATGTTCAGACAGTAGTCCAGTGTTTTATGGCCCATAACCCTGAGTATTTCATCTAGGAAAAATTAAAAAATTAGCGGCGGATGTAGACATTTTTTACGATAAGCTGTTAAATTAATTTCCGTTTTAATCTAAGAGTTTCACCACTTCATTTCTTGTTGATAAGTCACCTTAAACTGTGCTTTTTTAAGAAAAAAAGTGATTCAACTTGATGAACTGAAGTGCATCTTCCTACTGTTTTTTTTGATCTATTGACTCAAAATCTAGTATTATATTAATAAACGTTTCACATTAAGCAGAATGACCACTAAGGTCATTCCAATCATAATTTCCGTTCTTTAAAATAACAATCCAACTTACTATGCATACGATCGTCTTGTTCGAATTCCTCATAGGTTGCTATACTTTCACCTGGATGAAACTTTGCTCCATCATTTCTTGATGTAATCCTCCACCATCTCAATTTGAACTTGAAAAAAAGAACACTTTTAATTTTCTGGGAGCATCTTTTAAATTCATTGACATTTTATGTGGCAAGTGACTTCATTAACATTTACGACGCACACTTAAAACAGTTAAGTAACACAAAAATTGATAAACGATTGATCGGTTTAAGAAACTTTTCAATATCTACTTTTTCTTCCTGATTCTGTTAAAAACTTTTCTTGTTATCAGTTTCCACTCGAGTATAGATCCTTTAGTTTTCATTAACAAGCTTATGTTTACTTTAAGTACTGTATGGTAATGAATAAATAGATGAGCTTTTATAAGATTACTTATAGATTTGTAACCTGGCCCTTTTAATTACGTTCTGTCTTACACTCTTCGTAAATTTTAGCTATAATATGAACAGTTGGCTTCACAGCTAAAAACAACAGGTAGTTGATATCAGGTATGCGTCTTTCAAATCTATAGCACGACTTAGCACACTGGTAAATAAACCACTACTTAATTTACGTTGTACGAATAACAGTGAATCCGTAGTGTCAGTTGCTGTATCAAGCTCACACAGCTTATTCTAACATCTGGTTGGGCTAATTTCTCCATTCTTGTTGAGTCACATATCGACCTTATTATTTATTCACTTATCAACCTTGACTGCATTTATGTAGGCGTATGTGTGTTCATTTATTATCTTACTCATCATATGTCTGTAACTTATTTTTGTCTAATTATAAATATTGACTCACGCTTCAGTTCAGTCAGTCACAACGTAGAACTTCGTACGTACGTACATCAGTTCGAGTTGCCATACCACATTAGCACAGAGATGTAATTGTCGATCCAAATCCCATAGTGGTAAAAATAGTAAGAGTATAAGCAGTAATCCGAAAGATTAGGGTTTGAAGATGTTATTCAACGAGTATAATCTAGTGAAATAAATTTGGAAAGAGAAGATAGAGACATGAAGAATTTAGAAGATTAGAATTTGGGAGAGCACAAAGAGTGGATGCACCTTCGCCATTGCAAACAATTTTGAGCCATGTCATTCAAGGTCTCTAACCATCGATTGCTATCATCTCGCGGATCCCAACCAGGTAGTCTACATTTACCAGCATGGCTCAGTTCACTTGTCAGTGACTTCATGGATTTGTGCCGCGTTTTGGTCTGGCCGCCCCTAGTTTTCTTCCAACCTACTCCTACACCATAAAACATTGCACGTCGAGGCAGTCGGTGGTTGAACATACATAATCTATATCTCAGCCATCTCAACTGATTAAGTTTCACTACTTCATTAATCAATTTGCCATCCTTACCTAGTACATGTTTCTTAAAAACTGCATTACTTACCCGGTGGTCCCAGGATATACGAGCAATGCTTCGAAGACACCTATGATCAAAAACTATTAGCCTAAGCTTAATTAAATGGAGTTAGCCCACATGCCTTGTCCTCTTTGCTTTACTCCGATTGTCTGTGTTGAACGATGATTGTACAGAATATACGTATTCAAAAATTCATTCTCGTATTTGATTTACTTAATTTCATTATTCACTAACGCAATTTAAGTCGATGATTATGTACGAGAATTGGCGACATATATATTTCACTAACAAGCAGCAAATGCTCCACATGAAGTCAGATCTCGGTTCAGTAAACACCTTTCGATTTCATACAAAAACGTATACAATTTTTCAAAAATAAGAAAACTCTCAAAGTTTTAATTGAATCTGTCTCTCAGTCTAATGATAGACGATTCGGTATACTTTCCTTCACTTTGGGTTATAAAAACATGAGGATACAATTTAAGATAGAATTCTTTCTCTGCAAGCTTACTCGTTTTATCTTTTATTAATTTTAACGATCTAAAGATTGGGAATCGACAAACGGGAGACAGTTGAATGAAAAAATAACAATTATTCATAAGGCGAACAAATAAAAATATAATATAAATAAAGCTAGCAAAACGATAGATGAGTAATGTATTCGTCGTAGTTATATTGCTGAGATTTATATTAAACTTCAGAAGTAGACAATCAACTGGTGAAATCCAGTTGTTAAGCAACTATGTGTCACTTCATAGTTTTTACATGATCGAAATTTAAACTTACTTAAGGTCGTAAACTTTTATGTCTGAATACTGAACTATTATAAATTTGCTGTTAATAGTTTTATCCAGTTATTACAAGGTAAAATTGCAACTATAAAGGTTTATACTATGAATTTTTGATAGAGTAAAACTATGAGAATATTTTATGAATATTTTGAGAGAACAAAGCTGATAAATTTTCGCGACGAATGTGTATGTTTGCGCAGTTTTAATCGCTCTAAAATGCAGATATGAAGTGATATTAACTTGCAATTATGAATCAGCAAGCGCACGTTTTAGCAAAACATTATTACAACAGTTTGTCAATGTATATTCCATTTGCACGAGCCACTTTCCTTTTGAAAGGGTTGGACGACACTTTATCATCAAAAGAGCTGACGCTTTGAAACTTTCCGTATATGTTTTGACGTGTTACATGAGTAATGAACTTTATACAAACCAACTGTAATTATACTACAAACGCAACTATTTCTTAAAGTTCTCTGGGATGTTTGAGTTATTTTCTCTGCCTTTTGAGACATAAAAGTCTTTTAAAAAAACAGTTCTTAGTCATTTTTTCAGTAAGGCCGCAGAAATATTTGCCGAATACCGTTAAAAACAACCACATAGTTCGGGATTACATCTGACTAGTCAAATATAACCTTGTGAAACTTCGGAAAAGGTTTTTTCTCTGCAACAAATCAAGCCATAGATATAATCGTACGAAAATCGCATTTAAATTAAACGAAATTTCTAACTCAAAACTAAGTAAGTTGACTGAGTATTCATTCACTAAATTACACAATTGCTTGTTGTCAAGTTCAAACAACTGCGTTCATTCCATTTTGACCCGTAATAAGTCTTAAGAACCTAACCAAAGTTGAACAGTAAAGTTCTTATGACGACAAGTGATAAAAAAGCAAACTTCATGATGTTGAGATAGTAGGGCTAAACAATAAACTCCCGACATCTCATATAACGTTATATGGGCAAATCACTCGAAGATCGAGAAATTTAAATATCAAATCAAGACACGTTCAAAACACTCGATATCGGAATCATGCAACGTAATCTCGTTATTGAACGGTAAGTTCGTCAAATATGAGTAAAACTTGTTTGTTACTACTAACTTTAGTTGATGTTATTAATAGATGGTAAAAATCTTTGGACGGGGCTGGAGCAATAGCTGCAAACTGTGCTATATTTTCGGGGTCAAATGTTTTATAATACGCAATCAATGGATTTTTCAACACAGTAGTTATATCATGTTTCATTTTTAAAAAGTTTTATTACACAGCGTATGACGACGCAAAATTTCGGTTCATTTTAACTACTTTCGAGTTCCAATGTATCAATGCACTAATGTTCAGTCACAGCTTTAGTCCACATCTTTTGGATTAAATACTTTAGTGAAAAATAAGTTTCGGAAGAAGACAAATCTTAAATTGATGTTGTTTGACTTTGGTTATTGAATGTTTTCTGTTGATACCACAGATGATTGGTCATAGATAGACATAAATTAAAGACCCCTTGACCAACAATGTATTTAAAGTCTTTCCGTAATCCAGCAGTGAAAAACCAACGAGATCTCAGCTATTCTACTGCTTCTGACTGTAGAAGTTAAAAGCGCTATTACTAACTTTGTAACTGACATTCGTACAAGCTATTCAGTATTATACCTAAAAGGCAAAGATATATGATTCTCGTTGATGCACCTTAAAGCTTGAGATAGTCATCTATAAATTCCTTACACCTTCAAGAACCAACTTTTTAATCATCAAATAAGTCCGATTAAATCTCCCCGACAAAGAAATAAAACTTCTGTTCAGCTAGGGTTTGTCCAGTAAAATTGATGAGGACAATAACACTGTCGAAGATATTCAGAACCATTTGTTTTGGGGATTTACATGCCACTGCAGATGACCCCTTCAATAGTGAAGAAGTTATGATCTTAAAAAAAACAGTCAGAAGTTTAAAAAGAATGAGCTTACTGTTTGAAAACACTGATAATTTGTTATGTTCAGAAGCGTAGGATCATATCTCTGTACTCAAATGAGCCATGTGAATTTACAATATATACTACGTGCAGTAGATGTTCGATTGTTCTCGAAACCTTGCAGTTCTTCCACAGAATGTCATCTCGGACCTACAATCAGACATCAGATGAATTTTTTCGATGTTGTTATCTATCATGGATCACACCTTATTCGTGAAAATTATGTCGTTCGATTGTTTGGTCAGAAAGTCAACATAGATGATGTTTTCTTCCAAGTAAGCGGATTTTAGCCATTCAACTCTGATATTATCTTTATTCCCGTTCTTATTAATGGTACAGTACTCAGATTCATAGTAAAGAACATGCAGCGTAAATATATACCCAAAATAAAAAGTTCTCTAAGTCTTCGAGATTTGGTGCAAACCTCATTATTTTTAATGAATCCATCTAGCTGAATGTGCTCGGTCACGCATCCACACTCGATGTCGAGTGAGTATACCGTGATACGCTTCTCTCACGACCGTTGAAAAACTTTTTCCGCGTGGTTTAGATGGATTCTCACTGGTGTATTTGTAGTGTGTATTATACTGATGTTATCATGCTATCTTGTACATCTAATATATTTTACCCCTGAAAAATAAATTTCAAGAACAATTCTCAGTTCAGACATACTATCGTGGAATCACCTTTCTACATATTCTATGTGAGCTAATCAAGGTTAATGTTGACATATATCTCTTATCTTATCTCTTAATCATACTAATTGGTACATAAATACTCAATCAATAGTTACTATCTCAACTAACAATTGAACTTTTTATATCCAAAATACATTCCATACCCATAGTCACTGATTTTGATATCAACCCAGGTAATACTTATTGCTATATACTAAGATATGCTATCTACTTATACGATCTCTCTACTCTGCTTCCAAATATGGACGACAATTGCAGTTAAAGAGAAATATCACCAACTCCTTAACTAAGTACAAGGCCAAAATCTGAAATCCCTGACGAATCAGTACTTGACAAAGTCAAACTTCATTTTCCAAACTATTCTCTTTTTTCCACAAATATTACTATCACTACCTGATTCTCTGTGAGACAAACCCCTCCATCTATTCGTACAGTATGTCAGCCGTAAGGCTCTTAAACATGAAATGTACAACACACTCGCACGCTGAAAAGTCAAGACAGTGCACACATAAGCATGAATTAATAAGGTCAAAATTTAAAAAACCATGATGTCGAATGTTATATCTTTTATGCATCAAAATGCTGATCACCATAGCACTGAATACCGTCCTACTGAACTTAACAGTAAACATAAACAATAAGCACCTTTCACACATGAGCCATTAATGATGTAAAATACCTCGAACAATTCAATAGAGCCGAATGTATCCTGGATTTTGTATCTGAAGTAACGAAAAGAGTAGTGTCTTTTTACCATACAGGTGTGTACAATATCCCTGTCCTCGAGCATGTGGCATGTTGAACGTCAACTGGAAAGCCATCCGCTTTGGAAAAATCGAATAAATCGACAGGCTCCCTCCTCTCGAAATCATTCTGCTATGAGTTGATGATTGCTCAAACACCTGGATGAGAACGTTTGTGTAATGTGCTGAAGACAATGTTTCGGTAGTGTTTTGCTACGATCGTATGATCTCTATCTGTAGACGTGTCAGGTGTTTTTTCACCTTTACCTTTCCGTTTGGTTCGTAGTTCCAGGATTGTTGAATGAAACTCATGCTGAAGATCAGTGTGTTTATTCTGAAAATGGGCACGTTCGAAAGACTAGGTCCCTTGAAACTTTTCAGGGGAGTTATACAATCTATCTACAACTTTATCGTTTGCTTACTATATATGTTTTAAATCTGAATTGAACTATAAGATGTGGATCAGTCGTCGAAAATTTCCAGGCCCATAGACGTGCGTAATTCCTGAACTGTGGTCTGCTACGGGTAATCCAAAATGGCCGCCACTTTAATTTGCAGATAGCGAATAGATAGAGCGTCATCTGTGAGTCCGAATAAATCAAAGAGATCAGTTTTTTTCTGAATGTTCATAGCAATGCTACGTCTTCAGTGTCGTTGTGAAACAAGGTTGAGATGCTGAAGTTGCGATTCTCTGTCCATACTTGACATCAAGCAGTCATCAACACAAGCGTGCACAAAATCGAGACCTCCGAATAGGTCATTGATGAATCTCTGGAAAGCCCATGTAACATTTTTCAAGCCGAAATCGTAGACATCTTCACTGAGCCTTTTTTGGTAAAACAAACCTCGATGATGGGGGTTTTTGTGACTTCGGGACTCCGACTGCTTGACGCGGTCAGTTTGTATACGGCTGTTTTGTAATGAGATTAAAAGCATTTTTACTGGTTGGGTAAGCCTATATAGAAGAAACAGTACAAAAAGGCTCTCGTCAAATGACCAATAAACTCTATGCGTAGCAAAATTCCTGTTACTCAGCGGTGTTGCAATTTTATATTGCGGAGTAGCTTGTCTTGCCTTTTTTAGTCTGTTAGATCTGCACGATTAAGGAAAGCTCACTTTAAAGGATAATAGGTTTTAGAAACATCACAGGTAAATATATCAGGAGTCAAGTACCTGTCAAACTTATGCGTTAACCTTTCTCTACTGCGAGGAAGCGAGCACGTCGGTTCGTCGAATAGTGCTTATCCAAGTCAGCATCTGGATAGTGAAACCGAAGTTTGATAGTAATAAGCCATAGTATTGAGCTCACTTACTAACCAACATACAAAATGCACTCTAGTACATTTATCGTGACTAAATAGTCAATGAAATAATTAGTTTGAAGAACTGTCAGTAAACGCTGCCATGTGTCGATACGCCGATAAATAGTCTTAATGTAGCGTGAACTAGTCTGATGATACTGACAAAATTATTTTGCTGATGGCTGTGAATCTGCAAAACCGAGCTATTCCGAATTTTGTAACGGACCAATTGACTCGTACATAATTAGCAATACTCAACCGAATAAAGATACTGCAGCAGAAGAGTTCGACAGGAAAAGTTGCTACGATTTAAACTAAAGGTTTCTTAGTTCAGGCATCACAATAATGGCCATGATTTAGTCAAGCAACTAGAATGTCTCTCCTATGATCTGTGTTTACAGTTATTACAAATCCGATAACTCATTGAACAAAACAAAAAAAACACCTTAAAATACCAATTTATGAAAAGCAATAAATGTTATCTAAACAAACCCAGTAATTATTTGATTACAAATAATTTTGGAAAATAACACTCAGAGAAATTCCAATTGTATTCCTAACATAAACTGATTAAAATAAAAAGAAACATTGAAACATGAAGGCATATTATAATCCAAAGGGCGTTTTATGCATATGTATAAACGGGGGAATAAGAAATGACTAGTTTCATAAATATACAAAAAGCCAAATTAAATAAACAAACCAGGAAATTAGGCATAAGTCAGCTTTACAAGGAGGGAGCAGGACCATAAAAAAGCATTCATAATTTGCAAAACAACAATAAAAAATAATATGCGCAACAAAAGCATGTATTTGGCGCAATAACTCGGAGTGAAAGGGAAAATAATAATATCAACAACAACAAACAGTACAGTCTCAATGAACAAACGAATGAATCATACAATTAAAATTTGTAATGGGTTGGGCCATAAGTAGAAGCAAAGAAATGCTTTAAGTTCATATACTAGTTATAATAGTAAGGAAGTTTTAGAACAACGTTAAGCTTAAATAATTCCTTTAATGAAGTTAACCTATTTTTTCGAGGAAATATATTGAAAATAAAGCTGTAGGTAGATCAGTCCAGGAAAATAAACCCAAAACCATTAATAACAGGCCGAACAAAGTTTATGCAAAGAAAATAAATAAGGACTCATACTGTGTTGAAATTGTTGGAAATCGGTTGTATTTATATTGAAAGAGTTGTGCCAGTATTGTTACGTCAAAACGTTATTTAATTCCATATTCTTAGAAAGCTATCCCACGACCCCGTACATACTGCCATTCCATCTTCGGAAACACCGAGACAAGAAACGCGGTTATCATGACCCGCTAGAACGCCTAAAATGTTAAAAGATGGGTTTTATTTCATACATGGAAGCAATACAATGACATAAATCTTCAAATATATGGTTGCAGTAAAGAAAAAACGCTCATCTTAAAGGTACAATCAAAATATGCAATGTTTAATTTAAAGCTTTGTTTAAAGAAATACAACAATACTGAAGATAAATAATGATAATAATATACAACACTGATAATATTGTTGCAGGCGAAGAAACAATTTATGATGAGTAAGGATACAAATAAGATCATAACTACAAAGCTAGGAATATAGTGAACTAGAAAGGCGCGAAAACATAGCTTGTCTTTTATCCCCGCTATTATAAAACTAGACACATTTCAAAATAATAATAAGATACCGAAAACACTACACTTAAATGTAAACGTATCATCCAGACAGGCAATAGACAAGACATTTGCAAACTCAAGGGCATTGTGAAGGTAACCAATATTTTATTAACACTGAGAATAAATCCCGAAGTGAATCAGAAATGACTAAAAGCTAACATCCATAAGATTTTAAAAAATCTTTGTAAAAGTAACATAAAGAAGCTATAGTCACTTACCACAACGTTCCTGTTTTAATGTGTCCCAAATATTGCAGTTAAAATCATCGTATCCACCGAGTAGAAGTCGACCACTTTTGCTAAAAGCTACACTTGTGATACCACATATAATATTATCATGGCTATACATTCCAACTTCTTGGTCAGAACGTATATCAAATAGGCGACAAGTAGCATCATCGCTACCTGTAGCAAATGACATCCCGTTAGGAAAATAGATAATAGCATTGATATCAGATTCATGGCCTGGAAATGTTTGCTTACATTGGCCATCTCTTAAATCCCATAGCTGAAAAAAAGCAAATGTGATCCACGAGCTTTAATTCAATAAATAATTAAAGAGTAAACAAAGTAATTGTTTATTAATTTAATTATCTTGAAGAGAAACGCATGGAACCACAGCTTTTACGGCGAAAGTTCTCTTAAAAGTTCAAAAGACAATAATCCGCCAACTGAACTCATGGTGTCACAACTTGAGCTAGTCGAAAGCTTTTAACGAGCTATATGTTGGATATACTTTGTCTACCCATTGGAATACTTAAATGTGTACATTTGTTGTATCTCACAATCCCTATTCTCTGACGCACTATCGTAATTCTTCCTTTACTTGTCATCGATATTTTTTATCCATGATTCGTCGATATTATTCTAAACTTTTACTTTTTATTGTAGTTGGTTTTTATTACGGTTGGTTACTTTAAACTTACAAATGACGCAGACAGTTGTGAGGTTTAGTCTTGATCACTTAGTCTTTTGTTTTATAACTGTATGGAGTTCTTGTCTTACTTGTCTACTTTGATTTGCCTGTTCGTTAATCCTTGTTTTAATCTCTGGATCTTCTTCGATTCTTTTAAGTTGAGGCAATACCCCAACAAGAAATGTCATAATTGACGCTAATTAATTTATTATTCTTACTGCATTTATAACGAGCGCTTCTATTTTCAACTTATATCGAAAAAATATTGAATCGCTACATAAGTATTTAAAATACCACCGCGCCATGTTTATTTGTTTAGATATAGCCGAACAGTGTACCTGTAACCCTGAAGAAAATGGGGTTCCGCATGTAATTTGGACCTGTCACAATGAGAAATATTACCAAAAATTAGTTGAACCCTAAAGATATACAACATCAAACACGTTTAGTGCAACTAATACCGCTATTATCCAAAGCCAATTAACTACCTGCTCATACTGTTAACTATCTAACAACAGTGGATTTTTTATCAACAGGATATGTATGATGTACCTTAAAATCAAGAATACTTATTGACGTATATTTCTTCGATTTGGCCTGAAATGGAAACTTTTGAACAAACTGAAAACTTCACTCTACTAATCTGGTTTATTAGATGTAAGGTAGAATAAATACTTCAATCATTTATTTACTAATTATTATCATTATTATCATACAATATAAAGTTATTAATAAATTCGCAGGCAAAACGAAGTATTTTGTACTTTGAACATAAATGAATTTTGTGCCCGCGATTAGCTCGTGAAAATCATTACAAATACGCACACAATAGTTATAGATTATATAACAGAAAGCCTCTTTTTATTGTAACATAAAATATGTTCATATGCGGATTAGTCTTAAGAAGAGTAAGTGTATGACATTCTTGTATGACTCAAAAATCAATACACAGAGCAAGCGTTTTTACAACGAACTTCCAAGAAACTAAAATTTTACAGACTTTTCATTGAAAGAAGACTCCCAGTAGACACTGTGGGTTATAACAACCAACTAGAGTTAAATTTTGTTTATATTAATTTATCAAGTATTTATATTAGGTCCATTTAACTGAGGCGAGACGAAATATTACCTCATAAATTAGCAGAGGTTAACATGGACAAAACAAGACATACAGTTTAGGAATAACTAAATGGAAGGTTATCTAGCATAGCTTATAAAGTATATAAAATCCAACATGCATAAACAACATGAAACTCCCATACAGAAAAAATACTACTAAAAAAAATACAAACTAGAAGATCAGCTCTCACTACTTTTGAAAAGGTTACCAGGATGAATTCTAATAAATTAACGGACTGTTTTAACAACTAGACAAACTGTGTAAAACATGTCACGCTAACACTTAACGCCAATTTATACAATTTTGTGGTTATGGAAAATAAATAACACTAACCTTTGCAGAAGCATCACATGCACCCGAAATAAATGTTTGGAGATTAGGTGCTAAACTTAAGCTCATTACATCACCTGTGTGCCCTGTAAATGAGGCGATTTGTTGACCAGTCTCGATATCCCAAAGAGCGCTACGATGCAGTAAATAAATGAGGGAAAACTACCATAAATTTTATAACTAGATACATTTAAGTGACATGTAACTTCAACAATACTATTATTAAGAAATTTGAATTAGCACAAAATTCAGTTTTTGTAATAAATGCGACGCAAACCTCATATAAGCAAAGATATGGACCATTCGAGGTAATAAAAAAACTAATACATAGATAACAACGCTAACAAGTATAAAAAAATTATTGCATGTGAGTTCGCATCAAGAAATAAAACTATTTTTCACCATTCCGTCATATGCATTTAAAAGTGCTCAGTAGTAAAAGTTTTCTAATAACCAAAAGTTATAACTCAGAGATTTAACCTAACTATTAACCACATAACGAAAACGATTTCAAAAATTTCACAAATGCTAACTGAATTTAATGTAATACAGGAATGACACTCTTAAAAAATAACAAAATAAATATAGAAATCGTTTAAAATATCAAACCAGATGTTATAACGCTAGGGTTTCTTTATTATAACGGTCCTTTTGCTTTATACGTATGTGGGACGTTAATTTACCTTAGACGAATATCTACACTAGATTCCCTCCCAGTGTCTATTCTACAAGACTTCAACACAACTCAGATCAAGACCATAAAATTAGTATGACTAGAACGTAAATGTATTTCCCCAACAAAACCCGACACAATCCAACAACAATTAATCAATGATAATAATAAGGATAGGGGAATGTATAACACATCTAACACCTGTCACACAATCCACATGTCTGACTAAGCAAAACAACCAATCATTATCATTCTCGCCCACATATCAGATTTGATTCTAACTCCCATTAAATATATATCTGATTTACCACAATAAATCAATATCAGAGGCACGTTCAGAGTGCTTAAGATTGGACCGCCCAAAAAGCAGATTTTAGTTGTTGGAAGCACGTTTTGTTGATAAGCATAGGAGTATCATTCATCTACATATTAGCAGTGAGATTTTCGTCACTTTTAGGTATCAAGAAATAGCAACACAGAAAATGTAGTAACATTCTCATAAATAATGTTATCCAGCTTAAAATCTTTCCTGAATATCATACTGTATACAAAATGATAAATAAAATAACTCAATCGCTAGGTAATGTGAATGAGCTACATTAGGTGTGAGAGATAATGTTACCCGGTTCCTCAAGTAGAATAAAGTGCACCGAAGTTCGAACACGGAATCATATGTCTAAAAGTCTAACATCTTAACCACTAACCTAGCGTTCCGCAAAATGAAATAAATACATTACTACACAATAGAAACTCAAACATTAAGAAATCATTATGAAGGTGGAAAGTGGTCAGTCAGTCAGCTACAACATAGGACCATGCATATATATGCATTGATTCAAGTTGCCACACCTCATTATCACAACAAGATGACCACCAAATTCGTAGAACTAGTAGCTTACGAGTTTCTTCTACTTCTAATGGCCATGTTTCGCAGCCGTAAAGTAGAACAGAACGAACTGCTATGCTGTATACTCTTTCCTTAATTGATAGACAGATATCTCGTCTTCACCATAGATGACGTAAGTTGGCAAAAGCCAAATGAGCATTTTGAATCCACGCACACACTTCGTCAGACACCAATACATTCGGGCTGACCAGACTTCCAAGATAAGTGAAGTTGTCGACGCGTTCGAATACTTCACTCCCCAACCTTATTTCAGGTGTTGACACAGGCCAGTGTCCTGAAGCAACAATTTGCATCTGGAGGGATAGAAACGCATCCCGAACATTTCGGGATTGTTGCTCAGTGCTACCTAAGGACTGCATTTCATCAGAGTATTCATCAAACAGAACTATGTCATCTGCGTATTCTAAGTCGATTAGTGGTCCCCCTGGTAGGAGATCAATTCCTGTAAATTCAGTCGACGAGAGCGTTATTCCCAGCAGTAGGTCCATGATGAAGTTAAACAAAAATGGAGATAGTGGACAACCTTGACGGACACCACTTGAGGTTGTAAAATCATATGACAGTTCGCCATAATCTCTCACTCGAATGGTAGTGTTCGAGTAAAGAGCCTTCACAAGGTTTATGTACTTCTGAAGTACACCTTTCAATGAGACACTGCCACAGAAAATCTTGGTCCACAGAGTCAAGTGCTGCTATTAAGTCAAGAAAAACTATCATTGTCTGACGCCGAATAGCATACCTGTGTTCTAACACCTGACGAATAGTGAATATGTGGTCAATGTAGCCACGACCAGGTCTGAAGCCAGTCTGGTTTTCTCATATTTGCCGTTCACGAGTCTTCGTTAGGCGCCCGATAATTATTGAGGCTACTATTTTAGATGCTATATTAGTCAAACTAATCCCTCTATGGTTATCACAGGATGATTTTGACCCCATCTTATTTAATGGGACAATCAGTGGCTGGGAACAGTCAGATGCGACAAGGTAGCAGCAACGATCGGGGAAAAGTGGCCTAAAATCAAAAGGACAATAGCTTATATGAACGTAAAACAAATCAACACAAGTTTATGTACTCGACTGAGTCATACCGGTTTGAAGGCTAGTGATACTACCAGGTATTAAAATCAGGTGTAGAAGAGTTCGGACGCACAATATACTACTTTAAACACTAAGCTAGATATCCGATGACCTTTATTTGCTATAAAACGAGTATTTAAGCAAACCCGAAAATAATGGTAAATACACTTTTTGTGATATCACAATTAGTAGAAAATATTATTTCTGACGTTTCACGACTTAATGTAAGCCACTTCCTTCGGGATAAGTAAACAACCGAAATGGTGCGAAGGGAGCAATGAAGAATATTTTTCATACAATGAAAATCATAATAGGTCTGAGCATGTCATTGTCAAGTTACTTTTAGTCAAGGAGAATTTGCATGTCACCTGAAAATAATTAACCTACCAAGTACCATCACCTGAAGTTGTAACTATCTGACTATCATTCACGAAACGACAACATGATAAATAACCAGTATGACCAGGGAGTTCTCGACTAACTCGAACGTTACCTTCTCTAGTCTTGAGGCTATAGATTGAACATATATTGTCTAAACCACCACAGGCTACATAATTTCCGGATGGAGAGTAGGCACATGTCATGACCCAACTGCTCCTCAAAGGAATGGCATGAACCTAAAATAATCAACATATGAGAATGAGTAAAGTTGACGTTTAATATCTTCTTAAACAAGGAATAAATAAACAAACCTAAATCATAAAAGTTACATGTTAGCTAATCTGAGAGATAAGTATCAAACAAGTGAATGAGTATTTTTCTAAGGCTCAACTGATATTTTTAGATATTTCGAGTCAAAATCTGCAAACTGTTTAGAATACGATATCAACCAGGGGTTATTCAAATGATGAACCAGGTATTAGTTATGTCGAATGTTAAACGATAGTCATTTTGTAGGTTTCCAGAAACCCCGAAAATCTAGCTTTCGTATATGATAAGGGTTGAAGCAGTAGAGATTTTACTTCACAGTGACTACAGAGACTGAAGCTTCCCCAAGTTACCTGGTTTTGAGAATTAGGGGATGGGTAGGAAACATGGCGAATCGGCACAATATGAATCCACAAAATATGTAAAGCCTTTGTTATCCAATTAAGCTTGACCAAACTGCGTGATATTACATAATTTGGTTTTGAACACTTACAATACCGTGAATAGTGTGATTTAATTTGAAGTGCTTTCACAACACCAATCCTCAAGCTTGAATTTGATTGGAAACAAAAAGCGCACAAGCCATTACAGAAGGTACGAACAAAAGGTAAGAAATAATGGGATAGTTGCATTTATTAGTGTTGACAACTATGGTTCGAAAGTAGTTTATGTAGGGAATCGGTGTGTTCTGGCATTTCGTCACTAATTCAAATACCAATCTGAAGCTTAACAACGGAGAACCCACTCATAATGAGCACACGACTTGGAACTGAAAGTATACCTCTAACACTAGTAATAAATTGGAAAATCGCTCAGAACTAAGTCATATTTACAAAGTAAAGCAGATCGGTATATATATATATATATGAGACACCAAGCTACTGCAGAATGAAAAAGCCATTTCCGACATTCATTCTTGTTCGTAATTTCCGTTATGTTTTTTTTCATAAGCGATGTACAGTTAACTGGGTTCGCTTTTAAATCTGTGGTGTTTTCTCTAGCACAATGAGTAATTTCCTGCAAATCTAGTAGCCTTTCGTAAATAATGAGACTAGTAAACAATTTCTATGAAGGAACTCAGGGAACCGATTATTGTCATTGACTTTAGGGTCAAGACTGAATTACTGAGTCTGGTAGTCTATAGCGTTTAATTCCGACATTGATGACATAATCAGTGACAGTATCTTGAAATACAACTTTAAGCATACCTAGGATCTCCAAGGTGGTGAAAATACGTTATGATGTTTGGGGATGGTTATGAAAGACGTAGATTTATAGACAGCAACTGTACAATAAGGTTATTAATTAACTTTGGTATCCTGTTCGAGAGGACAAATTAACAGGAATAAGCACGTAATAGTAGTAAAACGCGACACTAGTTGATAAGGATTATTCGCACTACGAAACGACTGGCAGGATATCTCTTTCCAAGTCTGTGGATTATTAAACTATGAAGTTGGGTTGTGACGAGAATAAGTGACGCTAAAAAAATACTACACGAAGTGTAACTTCGGAAAATTCAATCTTACTCTCAAAACAGAAACAACATAATCGACTTCCCGCTGTGCTTTACAAACTCACTTTGTTGGTAGTATATCCATCCCAAACTATTAACTTCCCGTCCTGAGAAGCTGAAACTAAGTTTCGGGAATCTGAGCACCAGTGCATAGCATAAATTTTTGCCAAGTGTCCACGTAATGTCCGTCTGCTGCGCAACTGAGTACGACTGATATACTCCACATTAACCGTTGCCTGTTGTAATGTAGTATCAGCTGCAACTCTCCGTGCCTCCTATGTAGAAATACATTATAAAGCGAAATGTTTTTTTCATCATACTCTAATTTGACTTTTAAGCTGTTCTGTTTCCTGACGCAGCTGATCTAGTTCACCCATTTTTAGTTATGATAAAGATCTGGTTTAATACACCAAACAAACTAGTCACTAAACTTCAACAACATCGCAGGTGTTTAAGAAGATGGTGAGTGGACGCTCAATTGAAGGGTTAAAACAATTTAGACTCATGACAAAAGTCATCTTATATAAAGCTATATTCGAAATTATTATTTGTCAACAACATGTTTTAAATTCAGTTTATTGACACCTTTGAGTACATTTGCAGATGTGAGAGTGCTATTGAAAACGTCTATCTCATATAGTTAACTTACCATGTCTGTTAATTAATCATCAGTCAGGAATCTCGAATATTTTTTAAAGGATCATCTTTCCTTATGTTGGACAAAGCTGAACAGACATGGATAAAATAACATTTAATTGAATTCACTTTGTTTATGAGTTGTATGCGCACACTCTGTAAAGTGATTTTCTGATGGCCTAACAGATTCCTGAAGTCAAAGGGTCTTGTCGTAAATGACTTGAACTGTAATTCCCTTGTCACCAACAACATTCGCATTGTGAATCCTTGGTACGACTAACGCAAATGAGTCCGTCTATTGTGGTGTATTCGTATCCGAAATATTGGCCTTCTGATATCAACAAGAATTCTTGCAGCTGCGAATAAATCCCCAAAATCAATGGCTCCGTAAGTTTATGACATTGGACGCGGACCGCATTGGTTTTACTGGAATCACCTAGCTTAAGGCGCTCGATCATACATCCGCGCCAGATCACGAGTGGAAACGCCATGCTCAACATCTCCTGAAATCACAAGCCTATTTGGATCAGTCGATTCTCGATATTTTGATAGCCTATCAAATATATCTTCGAACATCCTCGATTTCGACTGTCGACTTAACTAAATGAGTACGATTTATAGTAGAAGGCTTTACTGATAAAGCGTTGTCAAACTCCAAGTGCCTGTGCATCTTCGCTCTGTACTATAGCACAGAAACATCACCACTTAGAAATCTGTTAGACTATGAAATGATCCGTACTTAAACTAATTTAAATAATTATTCCGAATAACTAGTGAATAGTTGTTGTTTTCGATCCACCCCTTGGTGGAGATTCGTGAAGCAGTCTCAGCTGCCATTCTTGATAGGCACTGATTAGAAGCACCATCTCGAGTGAAATACACGTGTTAAGTGATAGGCGAATTCTCCTTATGTTGACGGGTGCTCTGCTGAACTGGGATGAACGGATTCGTAACTGGTCAGGAGTCGTACATGGGCTGCAGAGACCTGTTATAATTAACTGTGCCACACTATACTGAAGCACGCCCATCACTTGACATCTTTATTCTATCCTTGTCTGCCAAGTCACTATGTGGTGCTTTCGATAATAGCCCTAATACCTGTGTAAAGCTGGTTGTGAAATGTCTTTGTGGAGTCACTGTTTTGAATAGATTGCGTGGTCACTACTTACGAGCGACTTATATATTAGTTCCAATCAAGCTATATTTTAAAGTTGATACCACAATACTGTTGATACACCTATCTTAATAAAACGGTAAGCGAAAGCATTGGGCATCCGCTTTGTCCTGATATAGAAGTTTTCTACTCTTCACATCCACAGTACACCAGGAACAATGAGATCACAAGATAAGCGCTTGACCTTTAAACCAGGTTTCTATTCTTTGGTTGTTTGTGGTCGATCAATATTGAGGATTCACACACTAAGACAAGATAATTGTCTCATGCTTTCTGCTCCTCGGTGTTGTCTAAGGTCGACATGTGGAGTAAAGTACTTGGAAGTCTCAACAACCCCATTGTGACTTAGTTTAGTAATCATTACTGACAATTTTCAAGTGAGGTCATTGCCTTCATCTTAAAATCAATCCGACATATTAAGCTGGACCCTTGAAAACTGCTCACGGGACTTATTCAAGACATCCTGTCTATGGATAAATGGTATGTATCAGAAGCACGGCAAGTAATGAAAGCAAGCTGAGGCAGGTAGTCTAAGTAAAGTAACCATCTAGAAGAGTACTTGTCAGACGAGAACATTAAACTAGTGAAAATTTCTGCTCTATACAATGTCAATAATCTTGTGTGATTCGATATACGGCTAGGCATTCCCTATCGTATTTATTACACCCTAATTTGGAATATTCCAGACATTCCGAAAATGTGTAACCAGTTGATACTATGTACCTATTTATTGCTTAAACATTCCACAAATGGTGGTATCTGATGCCTCTAGCGTAGTATAAGTCGACTCATCAAATTAGTGGTGTATAGGTGCTGTCGTCTCATTACCGAATATATTTTCAGTAACTTACCAGTCCCGTCAACACATAAATTTGCTCCATGTCCACCGATTCCATTTACCTCGAAACAACAGCGATCCCTATTATCAATGGGGAAATGACTAGAATGATAGTAAGGAAAATATCAAGTGTGCTGACCCTTACCCGACTATTTTGTCTGCTCCTAGCAGCTTCATATATTCAAACTTTAATTCTTCAGGTCTAGACAATTGAGTTGTGTCTTGTCAACAGGACTTATTATTATACGGCAGTTAACATGAGTGTGCATGAAATGGTAGTCCAAGAATGGAAGGTTGTTTATCAGTACAGGCAAACATATCCAATCGATTAACAATTATTCGGTTATGCATTGGCCAGTGGTTTGCAATAACTTCAGGCGTCCATGGTAATTAAAAAGCATGACGTTCATCCACTCACACTGGCCGATATAACTACACACGTAACATAAATAACAATCCCCATTTTCATCGTGACTTTATGTCTTACCGAATTCACTACAACATAGATTGGTTAAAAATAATTAGATTATGGGAAGAGATGGATAGTAACTTCCCCTGTTTCTCTCGTATAGTTACTGTCCGTCCCAAGCCCGCGTAAGGGATGAAGGATGGACTTGGGGTTGGCTATTCCATCTCGTAGAAAACAACCCTGATAAAAGTACGTTAAAGAGAACAAACAATTTAAACCACTTAAATCTCGTTCTGGAGGCTGAACGACCTTCATTGTGGAGAATTATGACCCCTTATGGGGAAAGCCGATATCCTTCGGAAGTCACGAGGTCGATGCTTCTTCTAACAGTCAGAACAATAATTAGAACAACACATGTAAGCGAACAATTGTTTTCAATTAGATCGTCATCAGGCTTTACTCTAATATACATGAATATATACACGAAAATGTTAGACCAATCAAGGCTATTTGATTCAATAATCACAATGAAATAGAATACGTCACCAAGCATAATAGTTAAAAATACAAGTTGATAGTAGGAAGACAGGTGTAGTGATAGTAGTAATAATATTAAAATACAATAACAAAAGTCTTATCAATAGTTAAACATAAGAAATAGGAGGTCAAACGTGGGTAAATAGACTAGAATAGTAATCACAAAACATTAAAATCATTACGTAATAAGAAGTATGTAAGTACTTAGTGAAGAATACAAACGGAAGGAGGTAGAAAATTAAAAACATGTGATAGCAAAATCAAGATAATAAAAATGGAATTTACAAATAATAATAATGTCATTTGTTAAATTATGTCCGGCCATGGAAGGAATAGGGGGGTTACGAATTTCTTCTATACACATAAATTGGTGTGGAATACACGAATTCCTATGGCTTCAGCTATATGAAGGAGACGTGAGCGAACTCCGTTGTGAAATGATGGAGGTATACGATAGATCTCTTGAATTGATTTCAATTTATCTACAATATGACCACTATCAATTATATGTGCCAAGATAGAATTGCATATTGTTTTTATTTGGCCCTTCGTTAAGCAGAAGTGTGTACAGAAAAAGACCCTCTGCCTTACTGCTACAGCTTTACACCTATCCAATATAAGATAAATTTGGTTAGATGCCTCACGAGTAGGGCGAAAAATATATGTTCTGTTGATACTTTAAGTCAGGAACTAGAATTAATCTATAACTCACTGACAGAGGTCGGCTACCCTGCTGTGTTCATTAAAAAGTACATGTATGATACAAGGAAGAAGTCGGAGATTTCAACTGTTCGCAAGAAACCTTTATACATGAAATTACCATTCAACGGGGATGTAGCTCGTGATACTCTGGAAGATAGGCTAACAAAAGTAATTAGTAGGACATTCTACGCAGCCTATCTTTCATTGACTTTCTCGAGTCGACCAGTGATGTCTACTCAAACGAAGGATAAGTTATCTGAGTTAGCCTCCTCCATGTGCATTTATAAGTTCAGCTGCTCCTGTGGAGATAGCTATATCGGGCGTACTACTAGGCAACTTAACCAACGAATGAGTGAACATCTACCAGCATGGTTTGGGAAAAGCCAAATGAAAACAATATGCAGTTCTATCTTGGCACATATAATTGATAGTGGTCATTTTGTAGATAACTTGAAATTCGCAACCTTTCTATTCCTTCCATGGCCGGACATAATTTAACAAATGACATTATTATTATTTGTAAATTCCATTTTTATTATCTTGATTTTGCTATCACATGTTTTTAATTTTCTACCTCCTTCCGTTTGTATTCTTCACTAAGTACTTACATACTTCTTATTACGTAATGATTTTAATGTTTTGTGATTACTATTCTAGTCTATTTACCCACGTTTGACCTCCTATTTCTTATGTTTAACTATTGATAAGACTTTTGTTATTGTATTTTAATATTATTACTACTATCACTACACCTGTCTTCCTACTATCAACTTGTATTTTTAACTATTATGCTTGGTGACGTATTCTATTTCATTGTGATTATTGAATCAAATAGCCTTGATTGGTCTAACATTTTCGTGTATATATTCATGTATATTAGAGTAAAGCCTGATGACGATCTAATTGAAAACAATTGTTCGCTTACATGTGTTTTTCTAATTTTCATAATGGGAATCTTTAATATTCTAGATTAACAATTAATGTAGGTACATAGCTTGTTCGGACAATGTGAGAGATCGGAAGGTCTAGTCAAATGGCTACAGAAATGAGGAGATAAAACTTGGTAGTTCTCGGAATAAGTAGAACACATTGTACTCAACCTGAGAAATGTTAGATTTGAGAGAGATGCTGTCGTATTCTAGTCACGAAGAACTAAATGATTCGAATGCAAAGGGAGTTGTTCTGATGCAGACCA